TTTCATATGTATCGTCCCCGAATTACCACTGGCCCTCATCCTCTGAAAGCTGGCTCCCAGTTTCCCGCCCACAACAAAGATCTGCAAGGTCGTGAACAACTTGCCGATATTCTTAAGGCTCGACGTAAGCCAGGCGTTGAAGATCCCGCCTTCCTCGTAGGGACTGAAGAACGCTCGGTGCAGCTGAGGGACGAGACCAAGCGTAGCGCCGACGAGAGTGCATAAGATCGCGACGTCGGCAAACGGCGACTCAGATGGCGCCATCAGTTCCTGCTTCACACGCTCGGGAAAGAAAGACGACACCCAGCGGCCTACGCGTCTGAACTTGACTGAGACCTTGCGATGGGCCTTTTGCGCGCGCTCCGGCAGAAGCGAGGTCTCCTCGTCGGCTTCCTCGTCGTTGTCTGCGTCGCCGTTGTCGCTGTGCCCTGCTTCAGTGTCGGTATTCTGGGCATCTCTCTCTTCGTCCTGGTGGTTGTTCTGGAGCATCTTGGGTCCGACGGCGTAGCCGATAGTCTTGCTGACGACAGCGCAGAGGAGGAAATAGCTTTGAGCGCGGGCAATCGCGTCGGACATTGAATCACCGTCTGGAATGATCAACTTCAGGCTCCCCACGCTCTCTAGAGACTGCAGGAGGAGTAATGGCAGTGAGGTTGTGTTGTTGAATGCGCATGCGGGCGTTACCCAAGCTGGGAGTCTCAGGCCTCGCGATACGGCGTGAGCGAGTCCGATGGAGGCAGAGGTGTACAGAGCCGCCCAGACTGTAGATTGAGCAATCAGTCAACCAACCAGTTTATCATTGTCTGTGAGCTTGGTGACTGGTGCGGTAATGCCTCACCTAGGACAGGAACATAGTTCAGGACAATGTCCGCATGCAGTTGTTCGCCTAGATGGACAATAATCAAAGCTGGAAGAAAGAGCTTCACGCCCAGACCGGCCATATCGCTTATTGATCTCTCCTTCACCAGTTGAAGCCGTTCGGCTATGGCTCCATAGCTCATGGTAAGGAGGACCGAGACACATGCTTGGAGCGCGCCGACGAACGGCGTGAGAATTGGGCCCTCCATGACGGGTTACAAGGTATTGTTAAAGCTCTAAAAATCAATTTCGGCTCATCACGATGGCGTGTTGCTGTGCCGGCTATTGCTTGTTCTTATGGACTGATCCACCTCTCGAAGGTCGCGATGGATGTCGTCATCATGGCGAAGGCGAACACAGAAGCTTGATACACGGTGAATCTCGCCTCCAGCTCGTGCGACAAGTTTCCAAATCTGAACACCTCCATGGACTGGCTTTCCAAGGACTCAAGGAGAGCTCCAATTAGACAAACTCTTAATCATACCAGTGGAATAACTGATCAGTCCAAAATTTAGATAAAACTCTAAACAACTCCGCAGCAAATTCTATCCTACCGTATTAATACTATGACTATAAGCCCCTTTCCGACACGTCGAAGGAAGATGAATGTCTCTCAGCACCCGGGGTGGGCATGTCTTCTTGGCCAGTACAGTCGGTCGACTGCAATGTTGCCAGTTGAATTGTGTTGTGCTTCTCGAGCAGGAAAGTCCTTCCAGATTCGTCCACAGATCCAGCGAGAACAGCAGAGGAAAGAGGGTGATCTTGGGAGCCGGAATTTGGAGTTGTACTGGTACTGGATCCTGCTAACAGATAGCCCAAACGAGATGCACTCCAAGCCCAAATACAAGGAGCAATGTCGACGCCGTTGCAGCGGACACCGCCACCATGGAGTACACACATCGCTGTGCGCAAGTATTGGGAGTTCTACTTCAGGAGATGGCTGAAGCTGAGCTGTCGATCTCAAGGGAAGTGCGCATCTGAGACCCTCAGTCAGAGCTCACCAGCAGGACTTCGAACAAGAAAACATGTACCGCACTTGTCATGTCTGGTCTTTAGTTGCGCCCTATATGATCCCCTGCAGTGCATTGAATCTCTGAGTGTTGGCTGTTTTGAGCTTGATTAGGATAGTTATGTGAACGTCTCTAGTTTATTACTGCTGTGTCCTGGAGGGTTGCCTTTCAGCTGCCCTGGAGCAGAGATCTGCCACGCATCCCGAGTTTGAAGACTTCTAGCCCCACTGGGAGAACTTGCCTTACAAACAGTGTAGTGTATTCAGCAAGTGCCAGATGCTGCTCAACAGTATGCCAGTGGCAACAATAGCAACAAGGAGACCGACGCGCGCCACATCCTCTACGCCACTTTTGATCCGCTTTGGTGGGTTACGCTTCCCCAGTCGTGTGGTACGAGTGTAGAAAGGTACATATTTGAATTCGAAGACTGTCTCCTCCCCGAGCCCTTCGTCCTTGTCATTGATTATCTTATAGTATCGCTTGCGACGAAACTGTGATTCATCAGCACAACGATATTCGACCAGTTGGTGAGCAAAATAAGAATCATGCATTCTCACCTCGATCAGTGCTTGATCAATAGGCGGGAGCGATCTGAAAGTATAAGCAAACCACATCACGACAATGCAGTATCCATATACGAGCGCCTGGTAGTAGAGGTTGGGCCGCGGAATATCGAGCTCGTCAGACAACTGCTTGCCGTTGAGATGCCGAGCCATGGCCTCCATAAACTCCTTGGATGCATAAGTGGGAGCAGTGTTTTCGAGACTCAGGATAATGTTCTGCGCCAAAATCTTACTCATGTCGGTGGGATCTATTTCCGACGCCAGGAGGGATTCCATCATGGCTTTTCCCTTAGCTCTCGTCTCGAAAGGCTCATGCGGCGTGCCCATATAGTGCGCCACCAGCCGCCACAGAGCGAGGTAATCATCAATCTCTCGCTCCCGCAGCAAGATACCCTGTCGAGGCAATCCTATCCAGACCACGCTTGTCGAAAAGGTATTGATAGTGGCTATGCAATCAAGGTCATTGATAGGAACGCCGAAGTTTTCAACATCGTAATATTCAGGCTTGTTCTTAACGAGGCTCAATATTCTTGAACGGACAGCGGCGTGAAGCAACCGCACTCGAACCGATGAGGCCTGACCAGATCCTCCTGGTTTCATGGCATCCACGGACCCGACAACCTGAAGAACATGTTGAAGGGTTTCCAGCATCCTGCGTCGTGCGACATCTGCGGAGAATCCTCCAGTCCTTGCTAAAGTTTCGACAACGCGTCCGGAACCCCTGCCGCAAAGGTTAGTTCAGTTTTATTGATAGTGTTGCATTGAGGAGTCGAACATCCCACCCAGTAGACTCTGAAAAGTAAGCTATATATGATGTTGATGTTAGTCCATCATTTGCAACCTATAAAATAATGTCCTAAGCTTACCACGTTGAGCACTGGCATTCCGTAACGATAGAATACCTCTTGTCCTCTCTTAATTTGTTCCCACTCAACCCAGTCAGGAACGGTGTTGATCTCATTCCAAAATTCTTTGATCTTAAGATCATCGTCACGATGCTTTTCTAGCAAAACGTATAGGTCTCTCTTCGCTGGCTTGGACGTCGATCCTTCGGTCTTCGTAGCGTCTCGATGAGGTACAGGTGAGATTTCATTTAGCCGTTGAAGACACTCATCTGCAAGCTTGTCATAAGTGAACATTAGCGGGCGTAGCTGTTCCGCAGATCGATGAAGGTCGGTCCATTCGAACTTGTAACCCCAGTATTCGTGCACATCCTGGGCTTCCTGGCTTGACGAAATCATGTCTGGTAGCACAGCAAGTAGGCTTCCTCCCTATCTCTGAATGTATCACGTAGCGTGTTCAGATCGTCGCAGTAGAGTGCTCAGCAATAGTTGCTTCCTCTGAGCCATTCCGGCAACAACCTGCAACATCCCTCACATATATACAGTGCTGCTGGCACGCAACTGCTCACATGAGTTTGAAGCTGGAAGACCATGCGTTCCGACGAGCCACACCGAGATGCGAAGCTGCCACCCATGGAACGAGGCAAGTCACTAGCGGCTAGGCGGCTTTGCGGTTCGACATGTGAATGTAAGGTAGAACTATACTCGAGAGGTAGAGCAGAGTAAGGTCAAATGATTCTGTGCGGGGGAGTTCAGACAGATCCTATATCTGTAGAGGATAGCTGTCATGCCGATATGTCGTTATGCATGTGCATAAGTATTCAGCCCATCACTCTTACTTCATCAGTTTCCCTGATAATGGATGGACTATGGAAGCAAGGGGATGACCGGTTCCAGTGGTTTTCCTGACCAGAGTTGAGTCTCTGCCCCAGGCACCTACGAGATCCCCTGATTATCAAATGGCTGCCGTGACACCAGTACGCACTTAGACAACTATATAAACGTGGAGCGCGACTGTTCACGTTTTAATCTTATAAGATATGCCAACAAAAGGCATAAATTCTGAGCTTATCAAGCATGATAGCTCAGAAAAACGATTGTAGATTGATTGACAGCCGTCAGTGTGCTGATGATTCTGAACTGGATTCAGGGCCTCAACTGTTCAACATAGTTGGTGCTCGATCTTCCGGGGGTCTGATATCACAAGCACCTTAACTTATCTTTTCAAGTCTCTGAAGATGTCGAGCCTATCATGGTCGTTTAGAGACATTATTCCAAAAAGTGATTGCTGTAAGATTCGACATTTTGTCCCTCATCACTACTGATAGATTAGCAGTCACAAGCTGTACTCCTAGACCAAGTTCATCCAGATGATTCTAAGTGTTATCATGCCTGGGAATGATGGTAGCTGCAGGTCAAAGATTGAATTGAATATCACTTGGTTAAGGCCTCAGTCAAGCTCCTTTTAAGCGCAATCGCAACAGCATATTCTGGAAGTAAACGACCAAATTTTAGATTGCGAGTTGCAACAGAGACCATGACCATCAGCACTTGTTTTGATTTAGTGCCAACACAAGACTGGACAAAGACAAGACCAAGCCGGCTCTGTAGGATGGCTGAGTAAACTTACGATCGCATCGATTTCCCTGGCAGTTTGAGTGATTTGCGACAGGAGATCCAAGCATTTAAGGCACTTGTACCAGAAATCAATCCCTCTTACGATTTTGATGCTGGGTTTGGGTAGACCTCGACTCAAAGCACGCCCCTCCTTGCTGGATCTGATTGCCAGTCGCGGCGTGGTCGATCTGTCCGAATCCAAGCCGTCATCACCGCCCAGACCAGACGAACTGCCACCGCTCCCCGTTTCGCCTACTTCAACGACTCCCAGCTCGAGTAGCAGCAGCAGCAACATCGAGCTTCCCTCGTCCCCGTCCTCTTCGTCCACACACACACCAGTTTCACATATAATGGCTCCTTCTGGTAAGGACAAGACTGGTGAGGACCAGCATGGTACTATCTTTTCCGTATCTGGGCCTGTCGTGGTGGCCGAGCACATGATCGGCTGTGCCATGTATGAGCTGGTAGGTCATTATTCACGCTTCAATATATGGTCGAGCTTGGTTTAGCTGACTGAAATGCTCTTTCCAACTTTAGTGCAGAGTCGGACATGATCAGTTGGTTGGTGAGGTCATTCGACTCGATGGAGACAAGGCTACCATTCAGGTATACGAGGAGACAGGTACAGCTCCGCATCTACACTATGACGAACTGTTACTGGCCACTAAAAGTCTAACGTTTTACCTTCCATTCTCTAGCTGGTCTAACGATTGGTGATCCTGTTACGCGGACGGGCAAGCCTCTCGCGGTCGAGCTTGGTCCCGGTTTGATGGAAACGATCTACGATGGTATCCAGCGACCCCTGAAAGAGATCTCTGCACAGTCGAACAGCATCTACATTCCCCGTGGTATTGCAGTGAATGCATTGGATCGCAAGAAGAAATGGGACTTTAAACCAGGCAAGTTCAAGGTCGGCGACCACATCACCGGTGGTGACATTTGGGGTACCGTCTTTGAAAACAGCTTGGTGAACGACCACAAGATCCTCCTTCCTCCCCGCGCTAGAGGTACCATTACCCGGATAGCTCCTGCTGGCCAATACACTGTTGAAGAGAAGCTCCTGGAGATTGAATTCAACGGACAGAAGTCGGAACATGGTATGATGCACGCTTGGCCTGTTCGTGTGCCCAGACCGGTCAATGAGAAACTGCCGTCCGATGCCCCCTTCATCGTCGGCCAGAGAGTGCTGGACTCTTTGTTCCCCAGTGTACAGGGAGGTACTGTTTGCATCCCGGGAGCTTTCGGTTGCGGAAAGACCGTCATTTCTCAGAGTGTGTCCAAATTTTCCAACAGTGATATCATCGTCTATGTCGGTTGTGGTGAGCGGGGTAACGAGATGGCGGAAGTCTTGATGGATTTCCCAGAGGTATGGGAACTGAGGCCTCTGCTAAGATAACCGCACGCTGACGAAACCTTTTACTTAGCTTTCCATCGACGTCGAAGGTCGCAAAGAGCCCATCATGAAGCGTACATGCCTGATCGCCAACACATCGAACATGCCTGTCGCCGCCCGTGAAGCTTCCATCTACACTGGTATCACAATCGCCGAGTACTTCCGTGACCAAGGGAAGAACGTGGCTATGATGGCGGACTCTTCTTCTCGCTGGGCCGAGGCTTTGCGTGAACTTTCTGGTCGTCTGGGAGAGATGCCTGCGGACCAGGGTTTCCCTGCCTACCTAGGTGCCAAGCTCGCCTCCTTCTACGAACGTGCTGGCAAGAGTATCGCTCTCGGAAGCCCCGAGAGAATTGGCAGTGTCAGTATCGTCGGTGCCGTCAGCCCTCCCGGTGGTGATTTCTCCGACCCCGTCACCAGTAGCACGCTGGGTATCGTCCAGGTATTCTGGGGTCTCGACAAGAAACTTGCTCAGCGAAAACACTTCCCCTCGATCAATACATCGATTTCGTACAGCAAGTACACGACCATTCTGGACAAATTCTACGAAAAGCATCATCCCGAGTTCCCACGTCTACGAGACCAGATCCGAGAACTGTTGACCAAATCCGAGGATCTAGATCAGGTGGTGCAGTTGGTCGGCAAGGCAGCCCTCGGTGACTCGGACAAGATCACCCTGGACGTCGCGGCCATGGTAAAGGATGACTTCCTGCAGCAGAACGGTTACAGTGACTATGATCAGTTCTGTCCTCTATGGAAGACCGAGTATATGATGAAGGCTTTCATGGGCTTCCATGATGAGGCCCAGAAGGCCATTGCTCAGGGGCAGAGCTGGAGTAAGGTCCGTGACGCCACAGCCGACATTCAGACCTCCTTGCGTAGCATGAAGTTTGAGATTCCGGATAACCAGACAGCGGTTTCAGAGAAGGTCAGTCCTATTGTTTCCTGTCAAAATCGGTAATCTCTCGTCACTGACAAATCTACACAGTATGAGAAGATCCTCCAGACCATGTCGGAGAGATTCGCTTCGGTGTCGGATGAGTAAGGAGACGGAAGTCCTAAGGAGCGATGCTTTCTTTTTGTCTATTAGAAGCCTATATGTAGCAAGTCCATGTCTCTGTAATTATTTCGAGATCACTTTCTTGTTCCGCAAGCTAGTGCCGACCGTTCAGTTCTTTGTGACTTTCTATACACTTGGTCTCTAATCAGGAGCTGTCCACACGTGCAACTAGACGGCACCAAGTTTATGTATCTAGCGCACTAAACTACTGGAGGCGGGGGGGTCAAACCCCCTTAGAGGAGGGCTTTCCTGCCTGAAGAAGCGGTAGATATGGAACATAGAGTCCGATCATAATGAAAACTACCTCATGATGCATACAAATTGATGCCTATCTATTGATTGCACAGTTGCTGGCTGATGTTAGGCACCACTCTTAAAGCGGTCTCGGCTGGCCACAGCCACATGACGCGTGCAGCGCTGGCTCTGATGAACGACTAAGTTAGTTTGGACTTGAGTAAAAGGATCGTTTTCAGTGTATCTCATAATAACAGAAGCCCTTTAGTTCTCAAAGGATAGATACAAGGAGTACCTTTAGCTGGTTCAGTGTCCATAAGGTGAGGCTGTTCCGTTGCCCATCTATTTCTATCTTGATCTGGACCGCAAGCGAAACTCTACACTTGGCCGCAACTCTAACGCCTCCCGCTCTTTCCTACCCACTATCACCACTTCCTCCGTGCGAAGGCCATTTACTCGAGTCTCCCCCTTTTCGAACCGAAATCTTCTGTTCTACTCCAGAAACAGTCTTGTGCGATCGCTTTCTCTACGCAGTTGCCAACCATGGCAAGCCCGACAACCTCGTGCGCATGCCCCCTGTTCCCCCGAGGCCAAGCTCCGAAAACATTAGCTGACTTGTGTGATGGCTGCAGTATAAACGTCAATGATCCCGGCTTGATTTCACTGGTGAACAAACTCCAAGATGTCTTTTCGACAGTCGGAGTAAGTGTCTTGTCCACTGTTTGGAGATTTCTTTGTTTTGATCTTTAGGGAGAGCCCCTCTGCCCGATACTGACACCGCTCTTCTGGTTAGGTTCACAACCCCATTGATCTGCCACAGATTGTAGTGGTAGGCTCGCAATCCAGTGGCAAGAGTTCAGTTCTCGAGAACATCGTTGGAAGGGACTTGTAAGTTACTCTTCCTGCGCCTGCGTTCAATATGCTGGGAGTCGTCGCTAATCAAGGTTGCCCGCTGCTTCAGCCTCCCTCGTGGTTCGGGAATTGTTACTCGGAGACCCCTCATCCTACAGCTCATCAACAGACCTTCGAGAAACTCGGTAACGAACGGGGTCAAGGAGGAAAAACTGGAAACCACGGACAGCGAGGCGAATGTGGATGAATACGGCGAGTTCCTCCACATCCCCGGACAAAAGTTCTACGATTTCAACAAGATTCGCGAGGAGATTGTGCGGGAAACTGAACAGAAAGTCGGTCGCAATGCTGGTATCTCGCCAGCGCCCATCAACCTGCGAATTTACTCGCCCAATGTCTTGACCCTTACCCTGGTCGATCTGCCCGGTCTGACCAAGGTCCCAGTGGGCGACCAGCCCAAGGATATTGAACGGCAGATCAGGGATATGGTTCTCAAGTACATCAGCAAGCCCAACGCGATCATCCTGGCGGTCACCTCTGCCAACCAGGATCTTGCCAACTCGGACGGATTGAAACTGGCGCGCGAGGTGGATCCCGAGGGTCAGCGCACTATCGGTGTGCTAACCAAGGTTGATCTGATGGACGAGGGTACGGATGTGGTGGATATTCTTGCGGGCAGGATTATCCCTTTGCGGCTGGGTTACGTCCCTGTGGTCAACCGTGGTCAGCGTGATATCGAGAACAAGCGTCCCATCTCATACGCACTGGAGCACGAGAAGAACTTCTTCGAGAGCCACAAGGCCTATCGGAATAAGGCTTCGTACTGCGGAACACCATACCTTGCCAGGAAGTTGAACTTGGTATGTATTATTGGTTCAATCATATCATTGGTAATTTTCTCTGATCCTCCACTCTCTAGATCCTTATGATGCACATCAAGCAAACTTTGCCCGATATCAAAGCCAGAATTTCGTCCTCTCTCCAGAAGTACACGGCCGAACTCTCTCAGCTGGGCGACTCGATGCTCGGAAACAGCGCCAATATTATCCTGAACATCATCACGGAATTCAGCAATGAGTATCGCACAGTTCTGGAGGGAAACAACCAGGAACTGTCTAGCATCGAGCTTTCTGGTGGTGCCCGTATCAGCTTTGTGTTCCACGAACTGTACTCGAACGGTATCAAGGCCGTGGATCCATTCGACCAGGTGAAGGATATTGACATTCGAACCATCCTCTACAACTCTTCTGGCTCGTCTCCCGCGCTTTTCGTCGGAACGACCGCTTTTGAGTTGATCGTCAAGCAACAGATCAAAAGACTAGAAGATCCGAGTTTGAAGTGCATCTCGCTGGTTTACGACGAACTTGTGCGCATTCTGGGTCAGCTTCTGAACAAGCAGCTGTTCCGAAGGTATCCCATGCTCAAGGAGAAGTTCCATGCGGTTGTCATCAACTTTTTCAAGAAGTGTATGGACCCGACAAACAAGCTCGTCCACGATTTGATCTCGATGGAGGCCTGCTACATTAACACCGGACACCCCGATTTCCTCAACGGGCATCGTGTAAGTGACTTTCGGTTATAGTTTCTTTGTGGACTATCCTGACAGAAAGCAGGCTATGGCAATTGTCAATGAACGCCAACAAGCGAGCAAGCCTACGCAGGTAGACCCGAAGACGGGCAAGCCTCTGCCCCCTCGTGCAAACAGCCCGTCGATCGATGCCACAGCCGCCACAGAGACCAGTGGTTCTGGATTCTTCGGCAGCTTCTGGGCGTCCAAGAACAAGAAGAAGATGGCTGCCATGGAGCCTCCTCCACCCACCCTCAAGGCATCTGCCACTCTTTCCGAGCGTGAGGCTACAGAGGTCGAGGTGATCAGTAAGTTTTAAATAAAATCTGCTAAGACGGCAGAAAACTAATACACGGACAGAACTTCTTATCACTTCATATTTCAACATTGTCAAGCGCACTATGATCGACATGGTTCCCAAGGCCATCATGTACACCCTCGTTCAGTAAGTGGCATCGACAGCTTTGATTGATTTTTGCGCTAACTTCTGGCTTCAGGTTCACCAAGGATGAGATGCAACGTGAACTGCTCGAGCAGATGTACCGGAATTCCGAGCTGGACGACTTGCTCAAGGAGAGCGACTACACCATCCGCCGACGGAAGGAGTGCCAGCAGATGGTGGAGAGTCTAAGCCGCGCCAGTGAGATCGTCAGCCAAGTCCAGTGAATGCCCAACGACGCCCTAGATTGCCAGCCCGAGAATTCTCGTTGATTCACTTTCCATCCCTACTGGTTCTTCCTGGACGTTTTTGGAGCGGATTCTTGTGTCAGGTTTGAGGAGTTATATCTTACTTTATATTCTACCGTCGCCAGGGCTTTTCAAGAGCTCTAGAGAACAGTATGTCTTTCCAGATGTCCGGTTGTCAAGAGATTCCATATCACGAATTTGTATCGCCTAATGATTGCAGTGGATCTCTCCTTTTTCCTTCTTGATTTATTAGAATTAAGACAGATGTTTATGAGTTCAGCATGATATCCTTTCCTATAACCTGTACATATCACTGAATAAACCACTATCGCTTGATTCTATCATTATTCTAACCTGAGCTTGCTTGACTACTTTATTGTCTGTCAAGGTGGCGCAGCTATTGTGTAAATTCACATGTGTAATGTGGCTGAAAGATTACCATGCTGTTACAGAATAAATAACACACGTCAGTCTCACAAAAACAGTTTAGCGCAATCCGTTTAAGGTGCAGCACGTGTCATTCTAGCGCTCAGTTAGCGTCATTGCTTGAGCCAATGAGCGTTCAGCATGGTGAACAGCAGAAGTATACAGATTTTGAAGTATATCAACGTCGGATCGAACCTCGACACGGACATCATGATACTCAAATCCGTAGGAAGAGAGGCGACGTAGACGTCAAAGCCGGTAGCATGTAATGAGATAAAACATGTAGTGAATGGTAGGGGTAGCTCAGGATGTCTTCCCTTTCTCTCACTTCCTCGTCTTCTCTCCTTCATCTCCCTTTCTTCTCTTCTCTTTCCACTATCGAGGCGATTGTCTTCTTCTCTCTTGTCTTCCTACGGGAGCTTTGGTCCTCTGTACTGCTTCTCAGAGCTGGTTAACCATCAAGTCACCTTCTGAGCTCTTCATTTCCCTCGTCTTCCGCTGTGTTGACAAGGTATGCCCGATTCCGTCTACGAGGCCAGTGTTTCTTCCGTAGCATACAGCTAACAAGACCCCAAAGATCAAAAAACCCTCCCACATACACTCTCTAAGTCTGGAAATCTCTGTCACCGCGGTAAGAACGAACCCTCAGTCGATTTGAAACCGATGAATCATAATCTAACACGCAAGCCGCAGCCGCCAGTACACAATGTGCGAATACCTCCCCGTCTACCACAAACCCACCGGCTGCGTTGCCTACCCCAAGCACGTTGTCGAGGTCAGGGTGTACCTCGCTTGCCTGGAGATCATTAATGACCCGTCTGGCACGAAGGAGCGCTGCGAGGACAAGGACTGTCATTTGATTGGGTCGCTTGGCTCGACTCGGACCCGGGCTGAGTGTCCCCATTGCCTTGGTCCTTCTTGGGGTGTGATTGAGCCGCTGTGCATTGTGAGTTATCTGCTGTGGTTCTGCTGGGGATGATGTTGGTGCTGGTGCTGATGCTGATTTTGGGCGGGTAGGTGATTAGGGATCAGGAGTTTGCTTCCTTGATCTGTCATGGTGGTTTGTTTTGAGCGTGAGAAGGACGGTTGCAGAACATGGCCCGAGTGGAGTCGGATAGGTGCAGTGGTTGATTCCTTTCGGTGATACCATTTGCGGAAGCTGAAGCTTGGTGGTGGGATGGGGAATAATGATAACGGCCTTTTGAAGTTACTTGATCGTGGCTTGTAGCCCCAAGGACGAATAACGTCTTATGAACAGGAAGCTTCCGATTATTATCACTCCCTCTATTCTGTAGTACTATGCCGGTAGACATAATGCCAGCCTTCCTTGGACATGTCCTCGCGAACCCGATAGTTCTCCTCGGCAATCTTCAACAGTCCCAAGTCCATATCCACAATAAGCACACCTTCCTCACTCCCCATCTTACCCACCGGCCCGACAATGGGGAGCGTGACGCGGGACATACCGAGGAACTTCCCATCGGCCCCCGCAGCATTGACGAAGACGATGGCGCAGGTATTCTCGAAGCAGCGAGATGTCAGCGTCGACTCGAGGAAGAGCGCTTCCGAGGCGGGATTGTATGAAAGTGCCTCGGGCGAGGCATCGTAGCGTGTCCCTTGACGGGTCAGCCGGCGCTTCATAGATCAGGAAGAGAGAAGGGGCCACGTACAAAAGGTAGGAATAATCACCACTTCCGCCCCATGCGCAATCAGTTCCCGGAATGCCTCCGGGAACGCCAGATCCCAGCATATCAGGAGCCCCACTTTCCCAATTGGCGTGTCGAATACCTCGTGGGGCGCGTCGCCGGATGAGGTGAGGTGAGGACGCTCGGGATGCCATATGTTCTTCTTCCGGTAGGAGCCGAGTATGCTGCCATCGTTGGAGATGAAGTATGCCGTGTTATAGAGGCTGAATCTTCCTTTCCCCTCGGCTTCTGATTTCGGCGAAGAGATCTCGTGTCGTTCGACGATGCTTCCCGGGACGAGGCAGATATGGAGCTCCTTTGCGAGGGCTTGGTAGGCGGATAGGTACTTCTTATACTCGCCTGCCTGGACGGTCCAGAGGGGGTCATCGGGAGCCCAGCCATTCAGATGGTATCTAGTCAGAACGAGTCAAACTGCTTTTACAAATATCAAAGATGATTCCGGGATCGATACTTACTCTGGTAGAACGGCTAGCTCGGCGCCTTGGGCAGCCGCATCTCGAATGTAATTGCATGCTCTGGCGTGGTTTTCTTCAATTGCAAGGTCCTGAAATCAGACGTTAGATCCCAGCTTAACGGAGGGGTTAAATCCGTGGTGCGCTCCAGATAGCAGTCACCGTGGTGCGCTTGGCAGTGACGTAACTTGCCTTGATATGCCATTGGATCACGGCGACTCGATGGATTGGTGCCATTTTCAGACGTTGTGGATATGAGGACTGGGACCCCAATATACGGTTCTGAGGATCTTTTCAGGATAAAGACCAGGATGGACCAGGGGATGTAGACTCGATGTACTTCTCTCTAAGATTGCTCCTTCTAGGGGAAAGTTGGAGAATCCGGCCCTTGGGGTAAGTTGTGGGGTTGACTATCTCCATACCCCGCTTTGGTGCAGTATCTCTGCTCAATGGAGTACTCAAACATCAATCACCATCCTGCAGTCATCTTCGGAGGTATTGTCATGATGGACGACCTCGCCTCATCGTCTATGCCAGTCAGCAGTCAGCAGTCAGCAGTCAGCAGTCAGCAGTCAGCAGTCAGCAGTCTCTGTCTCATTTTATGCAACATATGTCGAGAGTTGAAGCGAGCTTTTGTGATGATTACCATTCACATAGTGACTTGACTGGCACGGACAGTAAGCTCCGCAGGACTGATTGACCTCGCACCGAAAACAAAAGCACATCTCATTATCATTAATATTATCAGGTCTATCCAGCTTCATACAAGTCATACATATTAGTGTCCGCTTACGCGGTCGTTCTTCAAGCAAGTGTCGGAACTAGACTATCGCACCAGCCACCGAGAAAGTCGGCTTCTTGCTGACCCGATATACCAGCCTGTCGGTCCAGAAATGCGAAAACACAGCATGGACTGTTGGAACTCCACCGAAGATGGTTCCTGCGATAGGAAAGCAGATGCGCTCCACTAGCTGCGCTGGACTCCACCAGACCCGTTCTGAGAACCCTGCATCAGCCACATTTGCTTCTTGCATGTCTGTTTTCCGCGTGCGCACACAGAGTGCATGCCATGGCTCGTACAGGAAAATGCAGATATTCATTCCCACAAATGACGATGCGCGTAGAAGATTGGTAAGATCGAACGCCCATGCCATGGTCGGATGAAGTGAAGCTGGAGGCGTCAACAGAGTATAGATAGTAGAGAATAGCATGAGTATGATCAGATGGCAAGGCAGGAAGTGAGCCTCCCAGAGCAAATGTACCAGGGCAAGGTGCCTCGGCCGCAAGAAAAGACAGCGGCACTGAGAGCGAAGGTAACTGATAGTACGTCGTGCGGCAAACCCCGAGTCAAGTGCACCCCACATATGCCTCAATGCCTGTCGATAACGAGCACGGCAAGTATCCAACGACCGTCGCCAGCCTCGTTCGGTATCACTTGAGATGTTGCACTGGCTCGCGGGGACGTAGACCGGGCGAGTGATGACGTTGCCCGCAGTCTCAAAATAGCACTTGAGCATCATATGCATGTCCTCTCCGATCGCAGTAGGATCACTGTCCCAGCCACCGATTTTCTCAGCCAGAGACAGCGGCAAAGAGTATACTGATGTCGGTATTGAGACGCACGTCCCAGGGTACATGGTGGACAGACCGGCGAATCCCCAAAGCAGGTCTGCGCACCGGACCAGAACTGGGGTCTCGTGAGAATTGCGGTCGAAAATGATCGGGCAGCAATATAGAGTCCGGTCTGCTTCCGAGATAGACGCATAATGAAGGCGCCGGATCTCTGTAAAGTAGTCCTGCCAGAAATGCGTATCGGCTATAATCCGGTTAGGGCTATGAATTGAGCAGAGAGAAGTGACAACGCCTACCATCCATAACCGTAACAATCACATCACAATGTCCCAAATCCAGCTCCGCTCTGTGGACTTCCATAATGTGTCGGGCGGCAAAGGCCACATTTGAGCTCTTTCCCGCTATTTCGCCAGGTAAACCCGCAGGGTGGAAGGTAGCATGGATATGGAGGAAGAACGGTTCGTATACTGATGCCAGCTTGGCTGCTTTTTCAGCGACCCCAACTTCCTTCTGTTCCATTGCGAGGTATATCTGATTTGCCAAGGTCCAATATTAGTTGCAGGAAGCAGGAACAGAATCGTTCGGCACCCACCTCATACTGTGTCCTTGCCCTTGGGTGACTCGCCAGAACATCCAGGGTAGTCCGCAATGTATGTAGGTCCTCACAGTAGTTCGGAAGAATTATCGCGTGGATGACCTCCAGTTCATCAGAATCGTGAGCCGTATCGCTCATCAATGGAGCAGATATATCCGAATCCGTGTCCGTGAGTGTCGAAGTGTCCGAGAGCCACTTATCTTTGTCCATGGAAATGCCAGGTTGCTCGGACTTTCGCCGCTGCAGGACCTCCTTTGTCTTCCGGTTGACACTAAAAAGAGCCCACGCCAGACGTGCGGTAAAGGCGAACATGCTGATATGGACAAGGACGGTGTATGCGACAAACAACTGCTGGGCCGTGTTGAGAGGGCCCGGCTGGCTTCCCAACGAATCTTTTGGCGATGATGGCAACGGGCCCTTCCATTTCCAAAAGGCGACTGCATCACAGGAGGTCAACCGGAGAAGTACAATCAACGCAATGATACTGAAGCCAGGCAAGCAGCGTGATGCCCACTGGAAGACCATTTTGCGATAAGCCCGGTCAGCAAACGCCTGATGCAGAAACCTTCACCTCGCAGAACGGAGAAAATAAGTTCTCTTCGAGAGTCCATGGTATATAATAGTCAAAATGCTAAGAAAAAGGGGTCTTGAAAAACAATGGCCCTATCCCTCATGGCCTCCACAGGGACACACTAAGTAGCGGTCCGCTGGAAGCGTTGCCGTATATTGAGCATAAGGGCCTGACGAATGGACCATTGAGAGCATCAGAATAAGCATCATGGCCCCATCATTCGACGGATCAGCTCGAGGAGGCTGTATGTGGATGATCAGCGATAGAGACAAGGTTCGCTAGCCATGGTAGTCTTTCGTACCTGATACAGCACTAAAGCACCTGCAAGCGTTCAGTGGGCTGTGATTTTCAGACAGATTAGCAGAAACACCTTAGCGGGCTCTTTCACTTGAGAGTCAGCAGGCCACCACCCTTCCACGTGCCTGGCCGAAACATGAGGTGTTAATCGTGAGCGACAAGGACTTAAAACGTCTTCACACAGAGGCTAGCAAGAAGGGAGTGTTTTGGCAGCTACATAGCCGAAAAGATCGGGCTCTTCCATGCTAGCAACGCTCAGATCAGCTGTGGACATTCTTAAGCTTTGAAGGCCCATAAAATGAACCGTGTCAGGGAGAGATGGCAATTTCCACACTTCTATCCAGCATAGCGATCTCCATGTGAATCAGACAAGAGTCATGAAAAGTAATCCCATGACCGTTCGGAGTACACTGCCGAAAGGGAGACCATCCTTTCCTATCCCTTGTGAAGTAATTTGGGCATTCAACGGTGAACTCGACATCGTGCAGTTTGTGAGTGGTGGAGAATGAAGCTCGAACGTCGCGAAGGGTGGCAGTCGAAGCGACGCCTGAGGCACACACCTACACAACAGACTTTACCCTTTCGGTCGACGCGCACGGGCTACAGCAGAGAAGTGGAGTCCGCCACGTGCAGCTAGCTATGCTGATTGGTTGGATGGCGTATATCAGACCTATGGGCTCGAACCAATGAGGGAGGAGCGATGACCGCGTGGGCCAGTTGATGGATCAATTCAGTCCCTTGTCAGCTTCTTATTTCAACCCGTCTACTTATCTTTAGTCATCCACAATGCTGATCAAGAGGCTAAGAGGTCACAGGAGGCCCGAGGGGATTGGAATGTGCTCCGTACGGCCGAATGCACGAGTCCGTCATGGTTCTAGCGAGTAGATGGATTGACTTGTGGTCATGTCTTATAGATGATCGTTCACTTTTTGGAGAGTAGATATCAGCTGCTGCGACTTCACTAGAAGAAAATTAAGTACCTATGGCTAAAGGTCCAATGATTCTCCAGCAAATACTTACATGCAGCCGAACTTCCCCCCATCTCTACCTTAAACATGTCGGATGCCACAGACATGGCTAGATAAGGGCTTCATACACTCACATTGCCTACAATCTCGGAAGGTGTATGAAAATTGACGAGTAAGTCCGCTTAACTTGTGCAATCAGTCATGGTGCAATATCTTTAGTTGGGATTCGGGCCACTTACAACAGATTTTGGCTCGTCCTGTCTACCTAATTGCTAGAAGCTTCTCGATCTCGATTTCAAATGTGAAGGCAAACGTTACCTCATGACGAGCTGATACTAGGAAATATTTGCACACTCTACCCGAAATATCTAGCAGTGAGTGAACGAGATATCTGCGGCAATTTTCTCTTTAACGGTAAACAAGTATAATTCTCCGAATACCCAGGCGCCCAAGTCTACCACAAACAGCAAATGGGAAGCATATTGTGACCGAAGAAAGGGGTGGTAGCTTCTCAATACCTTTCAAGACATCAGACATCACTAATGAGAACACAGTCTCAATTCTCCTTGATTTCCCCGCTCATGCGCTACAATGCCGCAAAACACCTTGTTGGGATAAGTATAGATGACCCTCGCCGGACCTGGATCTTCCTTGGGTTTCTTCGAGTCAAACTTATAGTCATGGCCGTCCGGGAATGTTGGGAACTCCAGGAGATAGTGGTCATCCTTGCCCATGCCGTCCTTGCCGTGCTTCGGGGGACGGTCACAGTCGGCTTTCCCGAACTTGATGGGCATGCGACCCTTGATGAGCTTGCCATCCCCGTCGTAGCCGTTAGTGAACCAGTGCGGGTAGCTGCTACCGGTCTTGCCGTCGGAGAGAGGCGCGTGGTGAGAGTTGCTTTCGGCTTTGGCTTGATTGTAGACAAGCCGCTTGTCTTCCCATTTGTTTGTCTTGGGATTCAGCTGCTGGTTGATGCATGTCCAGGTCTGCGGGTTCATGTCAGCTATCCTGTCGAAGGTCCCTTTAGGGCGACTCTTACCGCACGAGCATCGAGGGGCGAAGGAGCAGCTAGAACAGACACCGCTGTGACAGTCAGCAGGAGAAGGTTGTTGATTGCGACCATCTTGGACGCAGTCAGGACGATCATGACGATGTTTTGAATCTGGTTGCGACAAGCGAGAGGCTTCAGCAGCTTTTATATCTGCCGTTTCTAGCTCAGGACATGAGATTGTCGAGAAAATGCATCTTTTGTCCCCTGCACACCTCAGATGATGTTGGACGAGCATCCCTGTATAAAGAGGTGGGTGTTGGGGGCCAGGAGAGGCCCATTTTGGGGTTAGATCGGATTTTGAACTACCAAGGAGTGAGACCTTTTGAAGTCAATGTAACGTCGTCAGCTTTGAGGCATGAGATGTTTGATCCTTGGGGTCAAGTTACCTAAGAGAAAGAAAAGGCATGACCGTAAGCTAATTGAATGGATGCCATGACCCAAGCTTCATGCATGTCAGCGCTGAACATAGACCTCGGATTGCAACATGTCAAGAGCTGAAAAGGGCACAACCTTTGCAGGTGAAACAGTAAGCATTTTTTAAAGGAAGACAACTGGTTGGAAATGCCTCGTTGTTGCCTGATGCCATTTTGTGGTCTTAGGAACACATGTCATTTGAAGCACTGCTGACTTGATGTCAGATTCAGAACAATTGCGCCTCCAAAGCTTCGAATCAAGGATCAAGAAGACATTTCTACTTTGATTTTCGTTTTTTCTTCTTTCTGCTTCTCTCGTCTTCTTGTTGTGGCCGATATCACGCAGTCTTTTTCCCACCGTGTCTTGTTGCTCCCCGCTTTCTCTTTCATCACGCCATTCAAAATTACCATCTTCAACTCCAAAGTAGAGGCAGTTACCATCTCACAATGTCTTCTCTTCACCTCGAATTAAAGGACGACGATCCATGGTTCGTCGAGGAAAAAATCTTCAAGATCCTGGTGAACTACCTACAAGATCCCACCGCATCCCCCGCAGCCACAGCCCAAGCACTAGATCGACTGTTTCCTGCGAACCGTCCTGACCAAGATCAACCCGCAGACGAGCCCCGCGAGGACCCAGGAAGCTTTCTCTGGCACTTCTGGGGCGTGGTTCATAACGTGGCTCAGCAGATACCCTACACGGCTCCTGAACATGACAGACTCGCAGAGCTGATCAAAGCCTTGAAAGGTCTATCTTCCCAGACAAAAACTGTCTACATGGCGTCATGGGACCAGGCCTTTGACCTGTGGGGAGATTTGCCGATGCTGGGTCCGACGTTCAGGGAATTGTATGATCGTAAGTATAGTTTTGTGCAAGCCGCCGCATTATAGTCTTTCTATTGACAAACTGATAGGCATGGTATCTTTGAATGATGAGGAGGAGCGCGAACATTGGCAGAGCTTGAATGCTTACGCTGCTCGCTTGACTAGAGATGGCTCTGCTGATTTGATCCTTTTCGCGAAATATGCCATCGAAGGACTATTAGAAGAAGATTTGGAGCACGGGCTCGTCGGTGATGTCCCCGGAGCTATTCTGGAATGTAGGATGACTGTGGCAGCGGAATGGGTCATATATTGCGGACAGAGACTTGTGGCCCAGGAAGAGGATGGGATTGGCACGGAGAATTGGCAGAAGTGCAAGGCAAGGTTCAGCAACGTCTCAGATAAGGCTTCGATGAGCCCGCAAACTCGAGAAATCGCTCAAAAGGCAAAGCAGGTCATGGAGGCTCTGCAGCTGAGATGAATATGTATTTTTACTTGGACTCGGCAGGAGATATGCAATACAAGGTAGATCCCCGGGTGCGATAGCAGCAGATGCTCAAAATGCCTCGAGTTACTTGATTAAAATAAAATCCTTCATTTCCCGAAAAAACCATCCTGTTCACCTTTCTCCAACGAATCAATATGTGATCACTTTGCTGTCCACCATCACAAGCTCGCGTGACCCGCAGTTGCTAGTGACTGCGCCTCGGGATCCGGCGCCAAGACTCAAGAGAGAAACAAGGAAGAAGACCAAGAATGCGGCCAGACTTCGGCAACATCGGCTGCATCTTGATAATCGTAAACTTAACCCTGTACAGCAACATTGATATGGCGCCTCTAACAGCTCAGGAGATCATCGCTCATCCAGCATATGAGACTGTAGATTGGAAACTCCCTCCCACAACCTCAGGACGGGCACTTGTGGCTCAGAACAGACGCGGTGGTCCGTTCAACCTCAACTACGAGATCCATGGCACCGGGTCCGTGAAGCTAGTTGTTAGTATTTCATCGTCTTCGTGCATGCAATAATATGGCTGCATGGATTATTCGCAGGGAAAGTACAGTACTAATGCCAACCAGTGGATCATGGGCCTGAATGCCACTCTGAAAGACTGGAAACGCCAAACCAAGTACTTCGGCCACCTCAATGGCTCGAAATACTCCTGTCTGGTCTTCGATAATCGCGGGGTCGGCCGCTCCGACAAACCCAACTGCTTCTACTCCACCAGCGAGATGGCCCGCGATGTCGTGGATCTCGTCAGCTCCCTGGGCTGGATCGACCTGAACGCTTCTGCGACACGATCCATCCACGTCATCGGCGCCAGCATGGGCGGGATGATCGCCCAGGAATTTGCGACGCTCATCCCGGACCGACTCGCCAGCCTGACGCTCTGCTGTACGGCCCCGCGACTCGTCCGCACAACGCCCTTCTTCGAGAACCTGCAGCAGCGCGCGAGCATGTTCATCCCGCGGCATGTGGACGTGGAGATCGACCGGATCGCGGCGACGCTGTTTGCGAGTGAGTTTCTGGCGCAGCCGGATACGGAGAATGAGGATCCGGGCTTGAATTTCCCGACGAAGAGGGATCGGTTTGCGGCGGGGCATTTGAGGAAGAAGGCGGATACGGAGTCGTATACGCCCAAGGGGTTCTTGTTGCAGGTGACTGCTTGTTACTTTCACCATAAGTCTGCGGAGCAGTTGAGGGCTTTGGGGGATGCGGTGGGGAGGGAGCGGATTGCTGTCTTGCATGGAACGGAGGACCGAATGCTTACTTTTCGCCATGGGGAGCTTTTGAAGGAGGAGATTGGTGGGGGGATTACATGGCAGGTTTATGAAGGGGCTGGGCATATGTTGGGGTGGGAGACGGAGCATGAGGTAAATCAGTTGATCCAGAAATTGGTGGACCGATTTAGTTAAGGGTTTGATTAGAATTATTGCATATATGCTGTTCCCATACTCCGAAGTTGAGAATTTACCATCATTCTTCATTCCTATTTCCGTTGGTGTTTGCTTCAGAATCCCAAGATTGATGCAGAATGTTGAAGCAGCGCAATGATGGAGAAAAAGCAAAGAGGGTCTGTGCAACCTGCAGAGTCCTTAATAACCGGACAAAGCTAATCTTGGGATCGAAATATGATCTCTCCATTCACTTGCTGTGATGCATCCGATAAACACGAGGCAACATAGTAGGGCTGTGTAACCACCAAGGGACCGTCAGTCACCTGCCGCCAGCGAATGATGACAACCTCTGATGCACCTCAAGAGACATCCATCACCTCCTCAACTCATAGCACCTTTCATTTGACCATGTCACTACCGGTCACTTGATAATCTCACATTTTCAACCGCCAAGTGGTCATAAATACTAGGCTTTTCCAACCCCACTCCTGGTCCATTACCTCTCACGATCATGTCAAAAATGGCAGAAGTCACAGACTCCAAGGAACTTCCTCTTCGCAAAGGCGATTACCGTCCCGCAGGACCCGACGACCTGCGAGCTCCATGCCCCGTTCTCAACTCGCTCGCAAATCACGGGATCATCGCACGCAGTGGCCGCAACATCACCGCCGCCGAGTTAAAAGCCGCTCTACGCTACCTGGGCATCGGCTTCGATGTCACCGCAATACTCGTCAACGGCGCGTTCCAAGTTCACTCTGACGACGGAAAGATCATAGCCCGGCTCGGACTACGAGATAAAGACCAAGTCAACGAAGACGGCCTACCCGTGCTGAACCTCGACCAGGTCGGCCGGCCTCACGCCGTGGAGCACGATGTCTCTGTCACCCGGCAAGACCGCGCCCTGGGCGACTGTATCCATGTGGACCCGGACCTTCTGAAGCGATTCCTCGCGGCTCCAAGAACAGAGAGGGGTTTCAGCGCGTCGGACTTTGGCAAGTACCGCAAGACTCGGTACGACGAGCAGAAGGGAGACAACCCGGCGTTGGAGTTCGATAGGCTCAAGCACTACATTGCATGCGGGGAGCTGGGAGCGATTCAGTGTGTATTTGGTCGGGGGTTCCCGTATCGTGTGCCGGAGGAGTATATACAAGCGCTGTTTGGTGAGGAGCGTTTACCCATCGAGCAGGGATGGAAGCCGAGGCGGGTACCGTTGCTGTTGCCGGAGCTTGGACCGGTGGTGCTGAGGGTTTCGCATTTTGCGTGGCCTTTTAGAGGTCAGTGAGGATTAGAATAAGGAGTGGGCAAGATTGACCTCGGGGGATCTGAGTCTACCTACGTTGCCTAGTGATTGGTGGTATCCTACTACTAGATTTATTTCGGTTTCTTTTTTCTTTTGGTCAAGCATGTCCTGCGTCGGATCACTTGTTGTACTGGTGCACTCAGCATGACTAGGCGTGTCGGATGAGGTCGTCACTTCCAATGCAAGCCATTTCCTTCGATCTGCTGCAAAGTCGCTTGACCTCAGTCACTTACCGAAGCTTGCATGCTTTGCTCAAGAGAATCATTCAAGTGCCCAGTGCATGCCAGTAGTAACAGGGCAGCCAGCTAGGGTTGCTCGGGAATGATTTACGGCTTCTCTGGAGCCGCCTGTGGGAAAGTAGTGATGCAAACTGCAGCAAGACAATCCACCTAAGCTTTTAATCTCGAAGGATCGTCAGAAGTTGATCCTACAATATGGAGAAGGGCATTTATTTCCTCGAATGTCGATAAAGGGAGAATGTCAGCCTGAGCTGATATTTCGCCTCGGACTCCAGTGGAAACGGTTATAAACAGTAAATTACGGGGCAAAGCTTAATCTATTTAGAGTGCGTATTTGTGATACCGACTACCGAGAAACAAGTGCTTCCCCACTTCAAACCCGAGGCAAATTGCAAAAGAAGTGAAAGGAATTTGAACTCCCAAGCCACAAATCAGAGTCGTGGTATTTTTAATCTGTATTGGGCGTAAGTTACCGTCCCTGACTTGGGTTGTTCTCAGGTATTTCATCAATTGTTTAGGGAAACTACCTTACCATCGGTTGTTATCGGTGGCTTGCAGTGTATACCTCACTATTGTGATATCCGTCAAGTTATCAATAATAGCAGGATTGATATCATCTAGGATAATCAGCGCCATGACAGCAACATGCAGATATTAGTGCCCTGACTTATGCACAAATCCTTGTATGGCCATGCCAAGAGCACAGCTGCAGTGTTGCTCAATGCCGCTAGCAAAGAGACGCAGCCAATACAGTAACAATCCCTATGCCTCAGGCATACCACATGGTCCAGTCCGGCCGGTCGCAGCCACCACAGTCCTGACCCGATGGTCGGGACTGGTCATCCTCGGCCGTTACTGGTAAGGTAAGTGGGAGTTGAGCAGTCAGCTAAGGTACCTAAGTGAACATGGAACAGAATACACCATGATTACACCCTCACAGTTGAACTTTTTCGAGTCTGGAATTGGATCGCTTCCGCAATACATCTACCAGGTCCACAAAAAGGGCCCCCAGTGAGCGATTAATTAATCGGTCCCGTCGTGATGTTGGAAATATTTTGATACTACTACTACGTACTACTAGGCAAAATCTCTCACTCACCGTCTCACCCTATTCCTAAACCAATCCCGGCCCATCGCGATTTTCTCCTTAGTCTGACTCTGACGACTGTCCATCGCCTTTTCTTCTCCAATCTCCTCCTTTCTGCTCTTCTTCTTCTCAAGTCACTCTCTTTTCTATCCATCCGAGTACTGAGATCGGTTTTCTTATCCTTTTTCTTGCTTCTGCGGCCACCGCAATTCTCAATTCAGTTCTGCCTGATTGTGCTGCTCCACAATGTTCTTGGCCTTCACGACTGCTTTTCTTCTCCTTAGCTACTACTTTCCAGTGACTCGAGGCTAACACTGGCTGGTTCTGGGAGTTGTTCTGCACCCATAACTTGCGCGCAGCTTCGGAGATTTGCTGTGACGAAATTCGTGCGGTAGATCCCTCGTGTGGCGGCTGATCAACGTCCTTTCAAATTCAAACCCCTCGACGAATATTACCTCACTTCTTCGTTCTCAGGGAGTCTCTTCGCCGGATTATTCGACCGCAGCAGTTTCCTCGTGGACAGAATCGGGTGGTCTCTGCGACACGCCCGTTGTCGTCCAGTTCCTCCCACAATGTATTCTCCCGTGCTTCGGAGGTTGGCCTCGATGAAGTCCCGCATTCCGCTGATAAGCGGGATTCATCTGAACTTCATCTTGATCCATTACATCTACATCATCGCCATGACACTGATCACTTCCATAATGCTTTATCCAGGAAGTGGTATGGCCTATATTGACATCCTCTTCTTCTGTTCGGGCGCGGCAACTCAGAGCGGTCTCAACACGGTAGATTTCAATAAACTTAGAACGTACCAGCAAATAATCCTCTACTTCAGTTCCATACTCACCACTCCGATTTTCATACACTCCGTCCTCGTCTTTATCCGGCTTTATTGGTTCGAGAAGCGATTTCAACACATCGTGCAGGATACTCGAGCGATGCGTCATACCAGGACGAGAATGCGAACCATGAGTCGAGATAAGGACGCAACTTCGTTGGGAAGGGAGGAAGCTGGTATCGGTGCTCGCCCGATTGTTGTGCTGCGCAATAATACCCAGGAATCCAATCAAAGAGGCCGCGAGTCGGCCGCTCGTACTCCCGAGTATGGATCGACTCCTGGCTCGCCTTCCGGAGTTGATAGTGGGGACAGTTCGGAGGGTCAAGTGAATGGTCCCAATAGCAGTTTAGGGCTCGGCCTCGGCAGCCTTCGGGTGCCGACCCAGTTGAGTCCCGAGCATCACATTGCTTTCCTGGAGAAGCAACGGAAGAACAAAGGGGCGTTGCGCATTCCCAGCCCTCGGGAGTATGACCGCGGCGGCGTCCCCGAGGTCCTTGAGGAAGCCGATGATGAAGGCGATGAAACCAAGCGGACGCGCAGCAGCGAATCTGACGAAGAGAGTTCGCGGAATTCGGAGGAGTCTGATCAAGTGGGACCGCTGGAAGGGCCGCACATCACCATCAACGAACCGGACATACAGCAGACGAGAACCAGGAATTCGACGTTCCCCCGTCTGGACACTCGTCCCACTTTTCGTGAAACTAAAGATTTGAACGACACATCGGCCCTGGGGCGTTCGGGGACACGGCGCCCTACCCTTAGCAATCTTGTTCGCTCCTTGACGCAAGAACAGGAGCGCCCGACCCTTCCATATCTCAGTTGGAACGCTACCGTTGCCCGAAATTCCAACTTTGTTGATTTGACCGAGGAGCAGCGTGATGAGCTGGGAGGCATCGAATACCGAGCCTTGAAGACTCTGGCCATTGTACTCACTTCTTATTATCTCTTTTTTCACATCCTGGGAATCGTCTGCCTTGTCCCATGGATTATGACCACTCACTGGGGTCAGGTTGTGGAGCAAATCGGACAAGGTCGCCCTTGGTGGGGCATCTTCACCGCGGCATCTGCTTTCAACGACGTCGGCTTCACGCTGACCCCGGACTCCATGTCCTCATTCCAGACAGCTGTATTTCCTCTTCTCCTCATGACCTTTCTTATCATTATCGGTAATACCGGCTTTCCCTGTATGCTCCGATTGATCATCTGGGTTCTGTCGAAAGTTGTCCGACGTGAGAGCGCCGTTTGGGAGGAGCTCAAGTTTCTGTTGGATCACCCTCGCCGATGCTTTACCTTGCTCTTCCCGCGAAACGCGACCTGGTGGCTGTTCGCCATCCTTGTGGCGCTGAATGGAATTGACTTGATCTTCTTCATCGTTCTAGACCTGAACGATCCGACGGTTACCTCTTTGTCACCGGGCATCCGGGTACTTGACGGCCTTTTCCAAGCAGCATCCACACGAACTGCTGGATTTGGTGTGGTGAGCATATCGGAGCTTCATCCTGCAATTCAGGTCTCCTACATGATTATGATGTATATTTCGGTTTTCCCCATCGCCATTTCCATGCGAAGAACCAATGTCTATGAGGAGAAGAGTCTCGGCATTTATGCGGGTGGGGAGGAAGAAGTCTCGGACGAACCACAGACCGCTCCAAGTTACATCGGGTTCCATTTAAGAAGGCAGCTGAGTTTCGACCTGTGGTATGTCTTTCTCGGACTGTTCATAATCGCCATCGTCGAGGGCAGCCGCCTGCAGTCGCAAAACGACTATTCTTTCCAGATGTGGGCCGTGCTTTTTGAGATTGTCTCCGCCTATGGTACCGTGGGTCTGTCATTCGGATATCCAGGTGTCAACACGTCTTTCAGTGGACAGTTCAAGACTCTGTCAAAGCTCATTATCATTGCAATGCAAATCCGTGGTCGACACCGTGGTCTCCCATACGCCCTCGACCGTGCAATCTTGCTTCCGTCGGAATCTCTTCAGGACAAGGAGGTTCAGGATGCAGAGAGACGAATGCGTCGGCGTGCCTCCAACCTCAGTGCCATGTCTGGGATGGACCGAACTCATTCGCAAGCGCGCACAGAGAATGGTGTCGCAACAGGTGCCGAGGATAAGGACAGGGGTGCAACGCCCTGGGCGAACGGGGACAGTATCATCCGCCGGCACTCGACAATGCGATCGCAAAAATCCCAGAGATCCCCGCGGTAGGAGGTTGTCATTTGAACTCTGAATAGACCAGCGCACTATTTAATTACCTGTATCACCAAGACGGGTTTCCTGACACAATTCAGGTGCCTGGAGCCGTCCTGTCTGATCTGCACATAGTACGAAGTTTTCACATATGAATGGGGTATTTGTTTTATCAAGCGTCTGTGTTACTTGGCGAGGACTTGTCATTGTTGATTCATATGTTTCGATATCCTCACGGCGGGAGATGTTGTCACTAAATAGATAAGGTTGTTTGCCTCTATATTAAGCAACACAGCTGGCTGTGTTTAATATCATGAGTTGTTTCAAAGTCAACCTCTGAGAGATCAATCAGTTGCAACTTGCACCTCCACTAGGGCAAAATAGTAAGTTACAAGGATCTGCTAGCCTTCTGAGCAGCCGAAACAGAAATTGAGATCGTCCAAGGCTAGCGAAGCATTGTATATGAACATGGTCGGTGGACTGACTCCAGGCAGCAATCATTGAATTGAATCTCAAGAGATAAATCTGGAGGAGACATGACCCAGCCCTCTATCAAAGCAGTAATTTTCGTCTTTGACTTTGAAGTACCTATGACAGGGAGTGTCATACAGGTCACAGTGTGATTCTATAGAGTGACTGCGTCACTATGCAGGAATTTTTGGATGTTGACTGGGAGATTGCTCTGGAGAAAAAGGCTTGTTGGTCTTGGCGGAAGCTTCGCTTTCTTTCTCCTTTGCCTCGCCTCTGCCACTACACAGAATACTCCGTATCTATCTAGGTATCAATGAGCAGTCGTTGGACAATTGCTTTGTTGCTTGATACCTTAGTGACACCTCTTGTTAGGCGGAGACGACTTTCTGAATACCTTACCTTAGGAATGTTGTCTCGCGAAAATCAAAAATACACTCTTGTATGAAATTTACCTTGTTTCAGGTACCATGCCGGATAGGGAAGCTGTGTCTGTTTTGGGTCTAGTGTCAGGGACTGCACACAGGACACACATTTCCTTTTTTAGACGGTACATGGTGGACATCACCTATTGGCCCTGTGTACTCCGTAGTTGGTCGATATCAGATCGAAATGACAACATGAAAACAAGCTCCTCAAAATTCTTGACCACAACCTGATTTCATCTTGGGGGCAAATACCCAAGGCTGCTTAACTCGATCTGAATTCCACGGGTTGTGTAATGTAGCACATCTCGTGCTGCTGCACGCAGCCGTGCATGCTGGTTTCCTAATTGGGATATGATCAGTCGCTGCTTCTCATGTTGTGCATGACGACATCCCTCGCTTCTTCCGTCTTCGTTCGTGACACTCCACCTCTTCCATAGCCAACTTCATTCATCATCAACTGGCTCAGCACTGTTCAGATTTCATTATTTGTATCTATTGCCTTCTGACTTCTGCCGGATCGTATACTCGCAATCAAACCCGCAACATATGGCTGAAAAGCCGTACAGCGGCACCGCCGACGACTACAGTCGATATGGCGGTGCATCAACGCAGGTCGCCCATTGCGGTGTGGATGATCCCTATATGTCAAAGCCTGCTCCTCTCGGCGTTCAGGATGGTTCTTCGTCTGAGCCTGTCGCACCGTGGTGGAATCCTCACAAGTGGTCGCTGCGCACGAAGCTCATTGCGGGTGCGGTGATTGTCGCGGCAATTATTGGTGCTATCGTAGGGGCCGTAGAGGGAACGAGGGCCAATCGGTACCCCGATTATTCAAGGCTTGACTACAGATTGTTGGATACATACTCGGGGACGACGTTTCTGGACAAATTCAATTATTTCTCGGATGCGGATCCCACGAATGGATTTGTGCAGTAAGTGTTTCCTTTCGTTTTCTGTCTTGGAGAGCTTGGATTGATTCTTTGGCAGATACGTGGATAGGATAACAGCTGGAAAGCTGAATCTGACCTATGCTACGGAATCATCTGTCGTGCTGAGGGTGGACACATCTACAGAGTCAGCCAGGAATGGCAGACGGTCTGTTCGACTGGAGTCTAAGAATGCCTACGACACTGGCCTTTTCATCTTCGATATCCTCCATACGCCGTATGGCTGCGGGACGTGGCCCGCGCTGTGGCTTAGTGATACGTACAATTGGCCACTGAACGGCGAGATTGATGTCGTGGAGGCGAATAACGGAGGCACCGAAGGGAACGCAGTAACTCTGCATACGACACCCGGTTGTAACATGAGTGCCAAACGGAAACAGACAGGGCATGCGCTGTACCAGCAGTGTGACAATAGCACTCACGGCAATGCGGGCTGTGGCGTCCAAGGACCACCTGCCACTTATGGCCCAGAGTTCAATGACAACGGGGGAGGTGTAAGTCTTAAAATCCAGGACAGTTTTCTCTCAATACGCTAAGACATTCAGGTTTATGCTTTGGAGCTCCGCACTGCTGGCATCCGAGTTTGGTTTTTCCCCCGAGGTTCGGTACCAAACGACGTTTCAGATAACATCCCGGACCCATCGACCTGGGGAACTGCATTGGCAGACTTTCCCAATACCAACTGCGACATTACGTCCCATTTCAGCAACCAGAGTATCATTGCCAATATCGATCTATGTGGCCAGCTGGGCGCACAGCCTCAGTTCTACACTCATTTATACAACTGTCCGGGCACATGTAGCAGTTTTGTTGCGCGCAATCCTGCCAGACTTACCGAGGCTTACTGGGAGTTTAAGAGCTTCAAGGTCTATCAGGCTCAGTAGACTGGCATTTTGTGCACTTTCATGGCGTTTGAAATGAGCGTTGGTCATTGATGTGACTCTCAGGCGGTTGAATGGCCCTTTCATGACATATGGTGATCATTCAGGCATTGGGTAGCTTCTTAACCCTTGTCATGCGATTCGACGGATTGTGCATTCTGATACCGCGTGTAGATTGTCCTTGGATTGGCGTTTGTCCCTGCTTACCTCCTTACAATATCACAACAAATCCTCCCTGATGTTGTCTGGGCTCAACATATATTGCCGTAGGAAAACTCACTCATTAAAAGTCACCTGGGAGACGTTGCTAAGTGGAGATGTCAATAGTGGTGTAGGTGGGATCATCAACTGCGGTAGCATTACTTTTTCGAGGTCTCTCTTCACGAATACAGTCGGCAGGTATTTGCACGCAATCAACCAAGTACGGGGTGCTCATGTCTACTGTAGCTAGATAGCATACAAGTAATGACTATACAACCACTGAAGACGTTGAATTTTCAATTCGACCCAGACTACTCCTGTAAACTGGAGATTTGAAGCATGCCAGTTAATTCGCGGTGCGAGGAATCATATGGTTACAGGTCACTTGGACTTCCATTGATGGTTTCTCTTTTGGTATTATGTCTATGGCGATGGTTCACTGGGATCAAAATCTCCGAGCATGGGTCTTGATCTTGAATGAATAGGAAGGGTTCATGTCATTCTTGACTGGGTAGAGATCCCCGCCTTCGAACTGCATGTCCCGGGCATAGAACTCCACGTTCACCTCCTCGCGGCTGATGTCCATCGTGACGAAGCCATTGGCGGCAGACTGGGAGTTCGCGCCCAGCCACTTGGTGTATGGGCCCAGAGGCACCCCGTAGTTACAGTCTCCGACCTCGGGGTACCCGGCTCCACCGGCCAGGATGAAGTTAGTGTTGTTGTTGTAGAAGTGAGCGAGACAGTGATCGTGGCCGTTGAGAACGACGCCGCCGTGCTTCTCGACCACGGAAATCAGAGGCGCCACGTCGGTGTTGTTCCCGGCCGCGGACATGTACCCGTGGTGAAGCTGGAGGAACTTCCACTCGGCCTCGGACTCCGCAAAGGCCTTTTCCAGGAAGGCGACCTGCGTGTCCCGGGCCTGGTGGCACTTGGTCGTGTACTCGTTCTGATAGACGGACGTGCTCTCCTGGTACTTCTCGATGAAGCAGTCCGAGTCCACGACCACGAACGTCGCGGTCCAGTCCGCGCCTTTCAGGTCGTAGGTGTAGTACGGCTCGCCCGTGGTGCCGAAGTACCAGCGCGAGTCGTAGAGAGGCGCGACCTTGGTCTCGAAGTCCACGCCGCTCTGGCCCTTGACGACATCATGGTTCCCCAGGCATTGGTACCAGGTGGCGTGGTCGAAGACGCCGCCGCGATACATGTCCACCCAGGCCTCCTGGAACCGGTTGATGCCGGCGGTGGTGAAATCCACGCCGCTGTCGTAGAAGTTGTCGCCGACGGAGACAAAGGCGCTGCAGTTCTTCTTCTCGCAGACCTTGCCGATGTATGCGGCGGTGTCAGCTGTCCCAAGTGTTAGCAAAGCAAACATGGACAGTCTGGAGTACTGAAACTTGCCCTGAAGAGCGGTCGCGTTGGAAACGGCAGCGCGATCGCCCGGGTCGCAGTCGTTCTGGACCTCCCGGGGGATGGTGATGTTTTCGGCGATCAGTCGGGGCATGACATCGTTACAGAACGACAGGGGAGCGGGCTGGAAGCCTGTCCATCCAAAGTCTTGTATGAGTGTTAGCATGCATTGAATTTCGATTGTGGTAGCATGGTGCTATAGTGACCGTACCGCCGATGACACCAACAGTCATTTTTTCAGGAGCAGAGGAGGCCAGGGCGGTTGGGGCCAGGCTCGCCAAAGCCAGAGTCATTTTCTTGAAGCTTGCCATGACGATGGGTTTGATGAGATTGAGAAAAGAATCTGAGTGGCGCTGATGTGTAGAAGAACTGCGCGAGGGCCGGCTGCAGTTTAAATACCTTTCGCATCACCGAGGGATAGCCGGCGAACAACATCCGCTAGAAACCCGACGGAAGACTCGGCGATGCTGCTGTCGTCGCAATAATTGCTGAAGCTCATCTCGCTTGGAATTGTTGATATGCTTGGTGCGAATAGAAAGTGATTTTCACCCGTAGTGGAGTCCTGCATGGACCCTGGGATGGGCAGTTAAGCTTCGGCGGACCCAGCCATGGTCATACCCAGACAGTCCAATGAGCTTGGCAAAGCTTAGAACGTGGTCTCAGCACGTGGGTGTGCGAGAGCGTTGTATTTCAGGAACTGAAGTGCAAGAAATACTGCAGCCTTGCAGGAGATAGTGCAGACCTTCCAGAAATGAGGGTTGGGGTAAGAATTGGGGTAAGAGTAGGCGGGTACAGTATTGCGCAGGGGCCCAGGCATAATTAAATGATTGAGCCAGTGCCTTGGATATACACTATCCTACCATGGGACTGGAGACGAGGGTTAAAGGCTAGAATTGAACACATTCGAGATTTGCAGAACACGTGGCGCATGCCTTGGTATTAATGTTCACTTTCCCGTCGGGCCTTCAGGATTGCCATCTCAGCCAGGCGATATAGGTCGCCCATAAACCCTTCCACAAGACGGACCTGGGCGATAAATGTGGTTGGTGTCTGCCTCCATATATGCTTCCCAAGATGTTCAAGCACTACTCTCATCAAACATAAGTCGGTCTCGCTTCGATCCTCAAGAGGACTCATGAGGATATTGGAGAAAAGGTGGATGGTGGATGTGGAGAGCTCTGGCAAGCAAAACCTTCCAGGGATATTAGTATCGAGCACATTGATTCAAACATACGACTGGTCGCCTACAAGAGAAACTGTCCCTCGCGCTGTGGATCCGTTTCCAGGAACTTCCGTAACACAGACCGGCTGGCTCCTACGCTGAGGGCAAGACTCGAGCCCGCCGCGCAAGTGTCCTGGTTCCGAACCCAGGCAGTACACCGGCTGCTTGTCTGATGGATGGCAGCCATACAGTAGTGGTACTGCATGTCAAAAAGGAAGTCGGCCATGCGATTTTCGCTGTGTATAGGTCGGCCCGAGAACGTGGGCACGGAAGACCGCCATTCTTCCAAGGCGATGTCCAGACTGCGGATGGTAGCTAGGAGATCCGCATCGCTTTGACGTTGGGCAGAGAAGGAGTACAGGCCCTGATAGATTTTCGACTGGATTTGACAGAGGCGGATGAGGGTGAGAAACATAGTGTGGTTGTGTTGTTGAAGACAGAAAGGCTGCAACCTGTCCAGCTGGCCATTCGCTGTCTGCATTCCAGGAAGCGTCAGATCGCAATTCGTCACGTCGACAAAGGGTTGAAGGCCTGTGCGTAAGCTGAAGATCTTGTCGAGGATGAAACAGATCCAGAAAAGATTCCTAACATGCAGTTTTGCACCTAGATGGTCACCCTCCACAGCCTCGGGGTAGACGTTGCCTTTGAGGTGAAAGGCGAAGCGTGTGGCCGAGGACAACATAAGCTCTATACTGAGCATATCTCCAGATATGGCCTGACAGCAGAGGCACTTTATGTCAAGGTGTTAGCTATGGATCACCATTTGAGAACACCGTACACAGGCGAGTGATCAAGGTAAATACGATGGTCTTACCAGCATGGCCAGTGCCTGCAACCCGTCCAATGTTACGGACTCGTTGAGCATCTCTGGTAACAGATCTTGGGCTTCGCGAGCATATTCATCGGCAGTCACGATCTTGTCATAATGCGGATGACCAGTGAAGAATGAACTCAGCGCCATAAAGGCAAATATACATACCCTGGCGCTGGAAACCCCAGGCGAGATGTCTGACAATTCATTGTCGTAGGCCGCTCGGATAGTGTACTCAAAACATGCTCGGTTAATAAGAGGCAATATCTGGCCGCAAATTGACTTTTGAAAAGCCTCTATCTGTTCGAAAAGCAGCGATTTTTCCGGCAGCGATAATTGTCGGTCGCCATGGTGGCCCTCGGCGGTACATTTCCTGGCTATCCGTGGCCAGGTGATGGGCCTCATGTTGCAATATCGGTCCAGAGATCCATCCTCTCCGGTGCGGGTTCGAATCCATTCCAAGCCGCTTCGAGAGAAGAAAGGCAAGCCATTGAACGCACAAATATTCCCTAGAGTCTGGCCCGCTAGGCATAGATCGCTCCCGAAACCCTGGGGCGCCACAGCCTGGGGACCGCACTCTGGAAACAGTAGTTCAGGCAGAATTTTCCTTTCTTATGATTCATGCGATCAACGATGTTAGAATAATCAGAAACGCTCAATGTTGGGGTAGAGCCTGAGAGATCCGTTGTGTTTGATGCAGACATACCCTGTCTCGTAGGTTTACTCGCATGTGGGGAAGGTGAACTGCTCCTGGAAAATCGAGGCAATAAGTATCACTATCAATATAAGGTAGCCATCAAGTATGAGTACAAAGGGAAATAAGAAAACTCAGAGGTTCATACTTATCACTCCATGAGCGCGAGGAATCCCGGTTGCGCGTGAAGGTACAGGGGATATTATGATGGTAGCACCAGTCACACTGGGGAGTTGCACGGTCACATTTGATCTAGAGGAAAAATGGAATACCGAATCCCACCTGTTAGAAGAATATCGAGACTATCTAATCCGTAGTCAGGGGGCAAACCTTCTTGCTGCTGCAGGAGTCGCAAGCATATGTACGTCGTGTACGGCGTGGGCGGTTCGCGCCGTCATTGCCATTCAACGTTTGAACCGGCATCACACTTGCAGGATGATTGATAATATTATTGTTTCGATCAGGAACAATGTGTCAGGGTATTGCCAGATATTGCCACACTCAATCTCAGCAGGACAAGTACCCGCAATGATTCTACCTCTGTCATTCCTCGACCACTGGGAAACAATCGCCCCTGAGAAGTGTGTTGTTTTCCTTCTCGGACAAATTCACCACAACGCGAAGAATCAGCCAAGTCCAGTTACTCGATAGTGATAGGTTTTCATTATGGAGCACTTACAGCTTGAGGTACGTACGATTCTTCGGCTCAGTACACCGGCATGAGGAGGAACCCGCTTAATCATCGGCTCTGAGATGGATGATCGACTGGGGAGAACTTGCCAGAGATGGACAGTTCTAGGCGTCGGAAGAACCAAATTTTGTCCCCACTGCCGGACGATCTATTATTATTGATGCTCACCGGCCGAAAAGCATACTGCTTTCTATCCTCATTCTCCAGTTCGGACCGGGGCGATGGGTAAACACGCTGAGTCAGCGGACTTAGGGCAGTGCCAACTGCCAAGCATTTACTAGACGTCCTCATCGAACTACTTCGTGTACTCGACTTCCAGATCAACGCGCAAAATGCAGGATCTATCTGTCAATAGTACACCGTTCAGCCTCTGGGTCCTCTGGGTCCAATTGGAAACTGCCTGTCTCGGGCCCGGTGTTTGATATCCCCATTTGACCAACATTTGGGCCCGAAATGGATGCAAGACGGACTATCACCCTCGCGGTGCCGACTATGCATCCAAGGGATGTCTTCATACTCCTAATTCTCGGAGAAAATGAAGCTGAAAATATCCGTTGGACTTGTCGGAAGGTGTAGCTTCCGGACGAAGGAAGGCGTACCCCCATGACAATCATAAGAGTCAACTACATCCCCCGCACGAGGCTTGGGAGATTTACATTCGACAAGGAATTGAAACAGAGATACCGGCCAGTTGATCGGTTCTGAGTGCAGTCAGATACTTTTCGCCGGGGTTTTCACTGGCGTGGGTATATCAGCGGTCAAGCACGACGGCATCATGAGCGTCAACAGCCAGGACGAGTACTTACTCGAGGATCATGGATCTCAAGAAGAGGAAATCACTTACGGATCTACGGTCAGATCTCCCATGGACCTTATCAGACCAGATGAGACGGAGAACCTTAGGCGGATTGCCACCCAGCAGTCAGAGAAGTCGCGCAGACGGTCAGGGGCAGGCGCTATAGAGACGCCCGCTATCGCAGAGGATGACCCTGCGTTGGATCCGCGGTCGGTGGAATTCAATCTGGAACAGTGGCTCAGAACTGTGGTGGCAGACGCCGAAGGGAAAGGTCTGTCAGCTCCACAGGCCGGAATTGTCTTCAAACAATTGAATGTCTCCGGGTCTGGGGCCGCCCTTCAGCTACAGGACACGGTTGGTTCGACCTTGGCGATGCCCTTGCGACTTCCGGAACTGCTTCGCCAGAGGCATTCTCCATCTCGACTGATCCTCAAGTCGTTCAATGGCCTGATGAAGAGCGGGGAGCTGTTGCTGGTACTTGGGCGTCCAGGGGCGGGTTGCAGCACCTTCCTCAAGACACTCTGCGGCGAGACTCATGGGCTTGACGTCAATCCGACGAGTGTTCTACATTACAACGGTACCAATTTCTTTTGAACGATTCCCTGCTGTACACTCTTCGTCACTAACGCGGGTTTTCAAGGCGTTTCTCAAGCACGCATGATGAAAGAGTTCAAAGGCGAAGTTGTCTATAACCAAGAGGTAATGAGGCAGGCATCGTACCCTCACACGTGTGCTTGCAGCTAAACTCAACTGTGTGCAGGTAGATAAGCACTTTCCCCATCTCACTGTGGGACAAACACTCGAGTTTGCAGCCGCCGCTCGCACTCCCTCGCACCGGTTCCGCAATATGTCCCGGGACGAGTATGCCAAGTACGCAGCCCAGGTGATCATGGCGGTATTTGGCCTGAGCCACACCTATAACACGAAAGTTGGAAATGACTTTGTTCGTGGAGTCTCCGGAGGGGAACGCAAACGAGTCTCGATAGGTATGTTGCAGTCTGTATCCGCCCCCTTCCCAGAGGCATCCGCCAGTGTGCTGACTTTCGGGTGAAGCGGAAATGGCTCTCGCTGCGACGCCTCTCGCAGCTTGGGATAATTCCACTCGTGGGCTGGACTCGGCCACCGCTCTCAAGTTCATCGAGTCTCTCCGACTACTGGCCGATCTGGCAGGAACTGCGCATGCCGTGGCAATCTACCAGGCCAGTCAAAGTATATATGACCTCTTTGACAATGTCACTGTCCTCTATGAAGGGCGTCAAATCTTCTTCGGGCAAACGTCTACTGCAAAGGGCTTTTTCGAAGGGCAAGGCTGGGAATGCCCTTCTCGACAAACGACGGGCGACTTTCTCACCTCAATCACGAATCCGCAGGAGCGACGCCCGCGTGCTGGTATGGAGAAAGTCGTTCCCCATACACCAGAGGATTTTGAGAAGTACTGGCTTCAGTCGCCAGAGTATCAACGTCTACAGGAGCAAATCGAGGAATTTGAGACTTTACATCCCCCAGGCGACGATGAGACAGCTGCCGCTCACTTTCGAAAGAGGAAGCAGGACGTGCAGTCCAAAAACAGCCGGCCAGGATCCCCATACCTGATCAGCGTACCGATGCAGATCAAGCTGAACACGAGACGAGCATACCAACGGTTGTGGAACGACATTTCCTCGACCCTATCAACCATAATTGGTAATATTGTCATGGCTCTCATTATTGGTTCCGTTTTTTATGGATCCACCGACACTACAGCAAGCTTGGCTTCAAAGGGCGCAACGCTGTTCTTCGCAGTCTTACTGAATGCATTGACTGCGATGTCGGAAATCAACAGTCTGTATTCCCAACGCCCAATTGTTGAGAAGCAGGTGTCCTACGCATTTTACCATCCTTCAACAGAAGCAATCGCCGGAGTGATCAGTGACATTCCAGTCAAATTCGTCCTTGCTGTGGTCTTCAATATCATCCTATACTTCCTAGCGAACCTTCGCAGGGAGCCATCACAGTTCTTCATCTACTTCTTGATCACTTTCATCATTATGTTTGTCATGAGCGCGGTATTCCGGACAATGGCTGCAGTGACAAAAACAGCCTCACAGGCAATGGGTCTGGCTGGCGTTTTAATTCTTGCGCTGATTGTCTACACCGGCTATGTCCTTCCAGTGCCCTCGATGCATCCTTGGTTTGAATGGATCCATTATATCAATCCAATCTACTACGCCTTTGAGATCCTGATTGCAAATGAGTTTCATGGCCGTGATTTCCCGTGCGCCAGCTTCGTGCCCGCTTATGCAGACCTCTCCGGTGACAGCTTCTCTTGTTCTGCTTCTGGCTCTGTAGCCGGTCAAACTACGGTTAGTGGTGACCGCTATATCTTCTACAACTACAAGTATAGCTACGATCACGTTTGGCGGAATTTCGGGATCTTGATTGCCTTTCTCATTGGCTTTATGACCATCTACTTTTTGGCTTCAGAGCTAAATTCGTCCACCACCAGTACCGCTGAGGCCTTGGTCTTCCGGCGTAATCATCAGCCCGAGCACGTGCGTGCAGGAAATGTTAAATCCACTTCCGATGAAGAGAATGGCATCGAGATGGGTCCTGTCAAACCTGCGCACGAGACAACCTCGGGTGAACTTGCTCTGCCACCGCAGCAAGATATATTCACGTGGCGTGATGTTTGCTATGATATCGAGATCAAAGGGGAACCAAGGCGCCTGCTTGATCATGTTTCCGGCTGGGTTAAACCTGGCACTCTAACCGCATTGATGGGTGTAAGCGGAGCAGGTAAAACTACCCTGCTTGATGTCCTGGCGCACCGAACCAGCATGGGTGTCATTACCGGGGATATGTTTGTCAATGGGAAACCCTTGGACACAAGCTTCCAGAGAAAGACGGGATACGTTCAGCAGCAAGATCTTCATCTTGAAACTGCTACTGTGCGGGAATCATTGCGTTTCAGTGCCCTACTGCGTCAACCACCCACAGTCTCAATTCAGGAGAAATATGACTATGTTGAAGACGTGATTCGCATGCTGAGAATGGAGGAATTCGCCGAAGCCATTGTTGGAGTTCCAGGTGAAGGGTTGAACGTCGAACAACGCAAGCTACTGACCATCGGCGTGGAACTTGCTGCAAAACCCAAGCTGCTTCTTTTCCTCGACGAGCCGACAAGGTAAGCGGATGATGGCGTCCCATACTGTAATGGATTTGTCCGAACTAAGATTTGAATTAGTGGCCTGGATTCGCAGAGTTCGTGGGCTATTTGCTCATTCCTGCGTAGGTTGGCCGATAGCGGGCAAGCCATTCTGTGTACCATCCACCAGCCAAGCGCCATTCTCTTCCAGGAGTTCGATCAGCTACTGTTCCTTGCAAAAGGTGGCAAGACTGTCTATTTTGGTCCTGTGGGGGACAACTCTCGCACTCTACTCGACTACTTTGAGTCAAACGGGGGACGGAAATGCGGCGAATTAGAGAACCCTGCGGAGTACATGATCGAAATCGTCAACGCCAGAACCAACGACAAAGGACAGGATTGGTTTGATGTTTGGAAGCAGAGTCCCGAGAGCCGGGCGGTCCAGGATGAGATTGACCGCATCCACGAAGAAAGGAAATCCACCCAGCAAGAGGACGATGATCAGGCGCACACTGAATTCGCGATGCCCTTTTGGTTTCAATTGTACGTCGTTTCGCGCCGTGTCTTCCAGCAGTACTGGCGAATGCCGGAGTACATCAGCTCCAAATGGGGTTTGGCCATCATGGCTGGCTTGTTCATCGGCTTCTCCTTCTTCGATGCCAAACCATCGCTAGCGGGCATGCAGACAGTCGTTTTCTCCTTATTCATGGTTTGCTCGATCTTTGCGTCTCTTGTTCAGCAGGTAAATCCTCCGATAACTCAAGCCAATGCAGTGCAGGTATCATGATATTGACAACCATTTCTAGATCATGCCCCTGTTTGTCACGCAACGATCATTATACGAAGTGCGCGAACGTCCCAGCAAGGCGTACTCATGGAAGGCCTTCTTGATTGCCAATATCGCGGTGGAGATGCCATATCAGATCGTGATGGGAATCCTCACCTTTGCCTGCTACTATTTCCCCGTTGTAGGCGCCAATCAATCATCTGAGCGGCAGGGGCTGGTTCTGCTTTACTGCATACAGTTCTACATTTACGCCAGCACATTTGCCCACATGGTGATCGCAGCAATCTCAGATACGCAGACCGCCAGCCCCATTGTGGTTCTCCTGTTTTCAATGTCGCTGACATTCTGCGGTGTGATGCAAGCCCCATCCGCCCTACCGGGTTTCTGGATCTTTATGTATCGCGTCTCGCCCTTTACATACTGGATCGGCGGCATGGCATCAACGCAGATACACGACAGGAAGGTTGTCTGCTCGGCCACGGAACTCTCTGTCTTCGACCCCCCAGCAAACCAAACCTGCTACGAGTACATGGCAGAATATATGGAACTTGCCGGGGGCCAACTGCAGAATCCCGATGCGAGGTCAGATTGCAAGTTCTGCTCCCTGACCGTGGCGGACCAGTTTCTCGCTGCGAGTGATATTGAGTGGTCAGAACGCTGGCGCAATTTCGGTATAATCTGGGCCTATGTCGTTTTCAACATCTTCATGGCGACGGTCTTGTACTACCTTTTCCGGGTCAGGAGGTGGGATCTTGCTAGCATCAAGGAGAGGTTCGGAAGAAAGTGAATGTGACCGCCTGGCACGCATAGCATCCTCTGTTGAATTTCCCCGGGTTTTCTGACTCTCGTCGCTCTTTCGTTGTCTACATTCCTTTCGTTGCTCCCCTATTCCTGTTCACATTTATCATTTTGACTCTTTTGTCCTATTCACATTCGGCGACGTTGCCATAATCACTTATAAGATAGACTTTCACCTTTCCTTCTAATCAATCTGGTCATTATCTCTCTCTCGCGGCAAGTAGTGACGATGATCTTAAACATGGTCTCCTCGGAGCAGGAGGATAATTTGCTAGATTTGTCACATGGAATTGCATTTAGTGAGTACTCCTACAGGGTATCAGACATACAGTGCATTGGAATCAGCGTAGATATCCAAGACATGAAGCCAGAAAAAAAAAGTCGCAAGTAAATGGTAAGCAAGACACCGCCGAAATCCAGTTGTATGATTCAAGATGGACACCAACACCAGAGTGCTAATACGCATTGACAGGTGCAATCAATATCGTAATCGTTAAATGATGAGTTGACCCATAGTAGCTATAGGTTCCGTAGCAAGCTGCCTTCGGCGAACGGGTTGGCCGGCGTCAGATCCAGCATTGGCTTCGTGGCGTTCCGATCGCCAGTGGCCACTCCGTGACCGACTGGGACGCTGTTCTGCACAGCAGCAAGCTGCACGGAACGGGCGAGGAGGCCATTAGCAAGGAATGGGCCCTCGGATGGCTGCGCGTTGTCCACGGGGGTGACTGGGGATGCGGGCGCGGTGTGATGGTGTCGCTGGTTGCTGGTGCTGCGAATCGTGTTGGAGCGCTTGCGGTTCTGCGCTTCTGCACTTGGCGCGGGTTCCGGTGGCACGGGGGGACGTCTCCAAGTTGTCGACGGCGGGACGGCGATGCCTCCCACGGGCTCGGGTCCGGTGGCTGCGTCAATCAATGGTACGCCCGGTTCGACGGCAACGCCTCGACCCTTGCGGCCATGTTGTGGAGGTTCTTGATAAGCCGGCGTCAGGTCGACCAGCGGTTTGCCCCTGTTCACAGAAAGAGACCGCTTGATACCGCCCATGTCTGGAGCCTGCGCCGAGGTCATCGTATTCGATCGGCTGGCAGGCTGGCTGACTGGACCGCGACGCGTGCCCATAGTTCCGACCAGTCCATGAGCGATGAACGGCTCTTCGTTGGCCCTCTTTTCCTTCTCTTCTCGTTCTTTCATGGCGTGTTGACGTAGCGTATATGTGCGACCCAGAAGTCCTGACGAAGAAAATGGGGAGCCGTCGGTGGGCTGCATTGCTGGGCCCGACGAGTCAGACTCCGCCAGGGACCTCGGGAAAGACGATGGTGGTGGTCCACGCTCGCGCGAGCGTCTCTTCCGCGAGAAGATATCTTTGCTCTTGCTTGATTTGAGATGTTCCTGGGGCGGAGAATGCTGTAAGGGTGCTCGTTCTTGCTCCGTACCAGAATCCAGGTCCACTAGGGGTTTGAACTGATGTGGCTGACCCGATTTGGAATGAGAAGAGCCATTTCTCTGCTGGTGGATGCTGTTAACCTCTTCGTCCTCTTCACTCTGGCCTGCGCCCCGTTTGTGAACGAGGTACCAGCTGCGCCACGCCTGGACTGCTTGATGCCACTGCTCGGCGACTGCCCTGTCATTGGTAGAGAAGAAATGGACAAAGTTCTCCGTCGAGAGGAACATGCTCGACTTTTGTTGACTCTTGATTGCCTGACAGATCTTCTTTGGTGGCTCAACGTTTCGGCTCAGAAATTCCGGCGTGGGCGAGTAGATATCAAAATCAGAAAGATGGCAAGCATTCGTTTGGTCCTGACCATGTCCCTTCTTAGAAACAGTGACCTGTCCATCCGAACGAAGGGTGACAAAGCGCTTGTCCCACTTACGGGGCCGTTGCGAGTAGTAAATGTGCACTGTTACATCCGCAGGCGGTGCGGCCGGTACATTCTGCGCGTCAAGCAGGCGCAACGACTCGATGCTTGCTGCAGGAACAATAATCAATACGTTCTCTCCATCATTCGCCCACGAATTCATGATATCCCTCACACACTCGTATCTGCGCAAGGGCCGCTCCAGCCCCAGCTGGTTGAACGACTCCATCATAATGAACTTGAGAGGATCGATCTCACTTGTCAGACTCTTCGAGGCAGTAGCTAGCAGATCTTGAACCCGTGTCGACGGCATGACGCACATCTTGGCCGACATCCTCCCATATTTGACCAGAACGCTGCGCTTCCCTGAATTGACCGCGGAAACAGGCGCATCCACTCCAGTAAAGTGATTTCCTGTAGTAGGCTCAGAGGATTTGACGGCCGACGACTCGGTGCTGGACTTGTCCTTGGGTATAACAAGCTTCATTTTCTCCTTGAAAGATCGACGCTTCGGCTCAGGGGTTCCCTCCGACCTGTGATGCCGCCAGGAACCTCCCTGCACATCATCGTGCTTGCGCCGGTCGTCTGCGGCCCGAGAAGTCACTCTCCGAGGAGCCGAAACAGCTAGTGCGGGCTTTGCAGTTTCCCCTGTCAAGCGAGCCATAGCCTCCTGCCTGTGTCTCTCGCGCTCAGCTTCCTCGTCCTCCTCAATAGCCGCGGCGTCGTCGCCGAACGGGTTCTTTGTAGCTTTCGCAGGTTCCGTCATGCTTCGAGCCATCGCCGGTACGTGCGCTGCCTTCGCTGCAGAGGTATGATCCTCGGGAATGCGCCGCGGGCTGTAGCCCTTCAATTGCGTTGTATGCGTCGGAAGAGCTGGGACCGACGGCTGCGCGGTCATGGCAGGGGCTGTTGGAGCCCGCTGGCGGCGGTATCGGGACATGCTTCGGCTGATTGAAGAATTCGTTTCAGCTGCAGGGGCGCTCGGGGGGCTGGGGGCAGAAGGAATCGAGGTATCCAGGTGTTTGGGCTGCTTCTGTGTGGCTGCTCTTCGCACGGATCGATAGCGGGAGAATTTCAATGAGCCCTGGCCGTGGCCAGCCTCCATGCTGGTGGTCTGTGTCTCCATCGCCATGGCGATGCGCTCTTCAAGGCACGTTTCTTACACGGATCCTCTGGCAGGTGCGGATTGCATCGTTTGGCATCGACGCGCTTGTAATTCGAGAGTGTGACCAAGTGGTCAGGACAGTCTCCTCAATGGACAGGCTCAGAACCGTGTTAGTTCTCAATTGTATCAGGGGCGCTAAAAAGGCCGTAGGCTGAGTTCCGAAGCAACGAGAAAGTAAGGAGAACGGTATCGAACTGATTGGGAAGATACAGAAGGGAGGAAGCGAGGGAAGAAAAAAAGAGAAATGAGAGGGGAAGAAATTGAGGTGAAACTCAACAAACCCCTTGGATGCTGTAGAGACGTTTCACAAATGCTCATTCACTGGTCCTATCAACTCAGGTCCCAGAAGCCTAGAAAAATATAGGCGGAGGGGGCTTGAATGGAACCAGCATGACAATAATATTTTTATCACAGTCTCGAGCACAAGACTCCGACACCGAAATTGCGGAGATAGTCGAATAGTGATCTAAATATACGTACTGTAGGGACCGAGTGGAGACTGCGAAATTGCACTTTAATTACTGCGATCAGATGGCGGCAGGCTAAAAACGAAAAAAACCCACCGCAAGCAAGGAGAGAACCAACAGTCGCTCAGCTTCACTTTCGATGACGGCACTGAGAGAATGCTGTAGAAGGATACTGCGGCTTTAGCTCCAGAAGATGCTTTCATCGGACGCAACTATACATGGAAATCCTGATTCGAGTGGGAGAGAGTTCCGGGCACGGCACAGCGAAATGATGGCGTGTGGCTGGGAGGAATCTGGGACCATCGTCGTAATCCATCTTGGCAGTATTGAACAAGAATCTTGGATGGTTTTGAAGTCTATCTACGGAGTATCTAGTCTCTAAGGTACTCTCGAGAGACAGATGAACTACCTGGTGATCGTTCCTGGTACCAGCCTTGCAGGGCTTGGGATGATGTGAGGCGGATCGACATACCCACATGCTGACTGATGACACATCAAGCTATATATTTCACTACGCTCAATAGTCAATGGATTGGATCTTTTCCTGAATTAAGGAAAAATCAAGGGTCGGTTCGAGTCTGTGGATGTTCATTCATTCCATGTCGTACAGCCGGCTGTTCCTGCATCCATCATTCTGCTAGTGCTTCCGTCTTCGCATAGAGCGGAATATCTACGGAGTAATGTGCCTTGCGAGGTGGTGCAATATATTATTCATTTTCTAGCAGAATGCTTTTTAATCATCTCATATGAATCATGGGATTGCCTCACGCCCCCTTGTCCTCAGGCCATAGCAAATCATTCATTTCTTGTATGCTCCCAGATGTTTCCGCCTGTATCCCAATTAGTTCTAGCCATGGTCTGGAGGCCACATACACCAGGTACTTACCACCATGCGACAAAGTCAGTCGTCTGGACATCAATGCCCAGATCCTTTAGCGCCTTGGTTGAGAGGTGAGTATCATAAGGCCTCTGTACAGATGCGTTTGGATCATTTCCTTGCTTGTTCCTGATCATCCCCACCAGCGAAAGACCAAGTACCTCCGCCAGTTTCTCGCAAATCTCGTATTTGGTCATCCGATCTTCAGACGAGAATTGTAGAATCTTGGGGAGGTCATGGATCCTTGGCCGTTCTTTGAGATATTTGATGACGATGTCACGGCACACACGAGCTACATCCTCGGTGTTGGTCGGATAGCGCTGCGCCCAGTCGTCCATCTTCACACCCGCGTTCTCATCCTGAGCCTTCCAGACTGCATCGATCAGAGTATTCACGGCGCTCTCCGAGTTACTCTGAGCCGTACCATACAGCACTGGCAGACGGAGAACAACCCCTAACCCGGTGTCCTTCGTGGCTTCTAGCACCGCGATCTCACCGTCTCGCTTAAGCTGACCGTAGAGATTCGTCGGGTGGGTCTCTGCATCGGCCTCATAAGGAGCCTCTCCCTCCTTTCCAGAGAAGACATAATCGGTCGAGATGTAGATCAGCAACGCTTTTCGAGCAGAGGTCTCTTCTGCAAGGGTACGGGTGGCATCGACATTGACCCGACGAGCTTGCTCAGGGTTCTTATCACACAGATCCGGTGACCGGTTCGCGGCGCCTAAAGCAGAGTGGTTAGTGTCAATTGCAGACACATTGAGTGTGCTTCGGTATCATTCGCATACAATGGATAACAATCTGAGGTCTGGTTTGCAAGATCAGTCCTCAGCTCAAGAAAAGAATACATCGGAGCACTGCCGATGACTACTAAGAAAGAACATCAACGAGAACGCAAGGGCACCGACTTCGCTTCGTCCAGCAAATTCTTGATATCCTCCGGTTTCTCCAGATCCGCCCTGAGAATCGTGGGCGGGGTAGCTCTAGAGTAGCCTTGGCCGACAACAAAGCAACCAGAATGCTTGAACGTGTTAAAAACCTGACGGCCCAGCAGGCCGGTAGCTCCAGTGATCAGGACTGTAGTCGACATTCTGTTGCAACTTTGATTCGGACCTTTGGTAGGGAGTAAATTGGGTGCTGGAGGTTGATTGAAATAGCAGTTCCAGAGCTACCCCTCTACCGTTACCGGTCTGCTGTGTCTATCCACATGACGTAACGGCCCTCATAAGGTCCTGTTCTAGAAGACGCGCAGAGAGATCAACCCAGAAACAATGACGAATTGCTCTAGAAGTCGAGGATAGAGTTACATGATCTTGAGAGGAATGGGGAAGGTCCTGCATCATATCTCTGAAGCACCTGGTTGTTCTACTGGTATCCCAATCCAATCGGCAAGCAATTGGTCTCAAGCTCATGCCTTGGAATGGTCCAGTCGTATAGGATTTCCAATCGGTCAGCTATTAGCAAGGATAGCTTGGCCTCAACCTTGATAGCTAATAAAATCTTGCTTTCTGCCGTTAGTTTATTTTCAAATATCCATGCTCCTACGGTGGCTATATATGCTCGGCATTGCCCTCAGAAGCTTGATCCTGGCCGTAAGAAGACAACATTCAAACGCATACGACGAGTATCAGTGAGGTAATCACCATGCCAGATTGATCATTTCAGCTTGAAGTAAATTGCCTGTATGTCTGGTTCTCGACTCTTGAGTTCCCGAGAAAGATGAAATCTGCGGATAAATCTGCATCTCAACGTCACGTGCTGCTGTATGTAACGTCCTGTATTGTTGTTTCATGCGTCGAGGCGGATAAGTTTCCGATTGTCACCGCCTTCGCCATGATGTAGGCAGTAAGCCATCGGTGAGCCTTTTAGATAGCCAGGGCTCGCTGAGTTGACATCTTTTTTAATCTCCCATTGTCGGTCCCTGTGACAATGTCGAGTACCAGAAATTTTTCACTTGCCCTTCGGCGGGCTCGTATGCCCAAGCCTCGCTGTTGGGTGCGTCCCATCATCGCCAACAGTGCTTCTGTGGCGGCTGTAAGATCTTTCAGTGTCAGCTCCGTTGTCGGAGGCAATGCGACAAGAGATATCAAGCTCACCACCCATGCCTATCCCGAACTCAAGCGCAACCCCAATTTTGCCGAAATCACGGAACAGGATGTGAAGTTCTTCAAGGAGCTGCTTGGCGCTCAATCTGCTGTGATTGATGGTGTGACAACAGATGCTACGGACGATATCGAACCCTTCAATGCCGACTGGATGCGCAAATACCGCGGCCACACGAAGCTAGTCCTCAAGCCACAGAACAAGGAGGAGGTCAGCCAGATCTTGAAATACTGTAATGAGAAGAAGCTGGCTGTTGTTCCCCAGGGAGGTAACACCGGGTTGGTTGGAGGTTCGGTGCCTGTGTTCGACGAGATCGTCATCAATACTTCGCGCATGAACAATATCCGCTCTTTCGATGAGGCCTCTGGTGTGCTGGTTGTCGATGCGGGTGTCATCCTTGAGGTAACCGATCAGTACCTCGCGGAACGCGACCACTTGTTCCCCTTGGATTTGGGGGCAAAGGGTTCGTGCCACGTCGGAGGAAACGTCGCGACCAACGCGGGAGGACTCCGTCTGCTGCGTTACGGCAGTCTTCACGGCAATGTGCTTGGTCTTGAAGCTGTCCTGGCGGATGGTACTATCGTCGACTCCCTCTCCACCTTGAGAAAGAACAACACAGGCTATGACTTGAAGCAGTTGTTCATCGGCTCTGAAGGGACGATCGGCATCGTCACCGGCGTCGCCATTCTGTGTCCTCCTCGGCCCAAGGCGGTCAACGTCGCCTACTTCGGTCTCGAAAGCTATGAGCAGGTTCGCCAGGCTTACAAGGAGGCCAAGGGGCACCTTTCCGAGATCTTGTCCGCCTTTGAGTTGATGGACGGACGCAGCCAGAAACTCGTTCACGAGTCGACTGGCTCAAAGTACCCACTGGAAGGGGAGTACCCGTTCTACTGCCTGGTCGAAACCAGTGGCTCCAATGCGGAGCACGACATGGAGAAGCTGGAAGGGTTCCTGGAACATATCATGGGTGAGGGGATCGTCGCCGACGGTGTTCTAGCCCAAGACGAGACACAGTTCCAGTCTATCTGGCGTTGGCGAGAGGGCATCACAGAAGCTCTGAGCCATCTGGGTGGTACTTACAAGTACGATGTCTCTATTCCTCTGCCTGAGTTGTACCAGCTTGTGGAAGACTGCCGTGAGCGCCTGACGAAGATGGGGTTCGTGGGCGATGATGACTCGTTCCCGGTCCGGGCCGTCGTTGGATATGGCCATATGGGTGACTCAAACCTGCACTTGAACATTTCTGTCAGGCAATACAACAAGGAGGTTGAGAAGGCCATTGAGCCTTGGGTGTATGAGTGGATCCAGAAGCGCAACGGCAGCATCAGCGCTGAGCATGGATTGGGACTTGCAAAGAAGGAATTCATCGGGTACAGCCAGAACGATACCATGCTCAAATTGATGAAGCAACTGAAGGCCTTGTACGATCCGGTAAGTCTGGCTCATTTCACACATCTTTTGAAGTTACTAATAATCTTCTAGAATGGAATCATGAACCCTTACAAGTACATTTAGATATCAAGCGCTTGCATGACGGTGTTGTATATAGCGGGTAAGAAGTGTTGAAAGTTCTCTTAGATAATTTTTTATTGCCCCCAGTCAAGTCTGATATCATGTTCTTTTCGACTATCAAGGACTCAAAAACTCCTCCATGAAATATCACCGTAAATCTGTCTTGTCTGCCTTACTGCCTTACCACTACCGAACAGTTTACGACTTTCCATTTCCGGATTCGGTCCGAAGTGGCGCTGCTGCTTGCTCACTAAGCAAATAATAATAGGGGTCCATGCGACCCTTTATACTAGCTATTTAACTATGGAGTACTTGAGGCTTAATTTGACTAAGCCACAACGCAGTACTTAACTAAGGGGCCTATCTAGGGGTCTGACAACCAAAGGACAAAGGGTAAGTCGGGGCTCAAAGGATGATTAAAGAGGTAAAATGAATTATGATTAATTGCTTATATTACAGCCCTTCAGCTGACAGGTTGTAATGAATAATGATTGGCTGAGAACTCATTCCCATGCAGCTGAGCTCGCACCGCACTCAGTTACAACACCAGAACAGCTCAGACATGCCAATAATCATCAAGATAGGTACTCTTGGTGAATTTCTTTTTCTAGCCCCTAGAACACTCTATACTAAATTTTCTACATTGGAACTGGAATGCCGGTCAGCTGCTCTTGGCACAGAGGCTGTGTATTTTCTCAACATGTTCCCCTTGGTTTGTTAAAGTCATAATCACCTATCCTACCACATCAAGTCACAATACTGGATTATAGGGCCACAGTCTTGCTCTGGAGACTCCCAGGGGCATCTGTTCGGTTTATGTTGCAACATTCGAGATGCCGGACTATTACAGTGATTACTACTTCACCTCGAATCGGACACAGTATTTATGTCCCACATTTTCGACCTTCCAATGCCAGCCCCCCAAGGCCTGCGCACGCGATCCACAAACGGGGAAATTTTACTGCTGTGATTCCCGCGATGCCTCCGGGAATGTGTGCTGGTCAATACCTCAGGATTGCGCCACAGATGGCAGCACCCTTACATGCGGGCATGGGGATCAGATATGGTGCTGTCGTTACCAAACGTTCGTCTCTTCTCGTCTTGTGTCCACGGGATGGCATGAGTCCTAAATTAAGCATACAGGGAGGAATGCACCTCAAAGCCAGGTCAGTTCAATATCTGCTGGAACAAGGTCCGAAGCACGCTCGGCAATATAAGCGAGGAGCTGCTCCAGGACACGTACTCCTCTTTGAGTGCTGCAACCCCATTGGCGAGTAGCTGGGTTTTTGATCCCGCGACATTGATGGCTACCGCGACGCACACTGGCTCGACATCCTCTTCGCCCTCTACATCGGCGTCCCAAATACCTGATACAACAGCGACAGCGACTAGCTCTCCACCAAGTCCTGATTCTTCCCCCACATCCCTATCGGGCGGCGGTATTGCTGGAATAGTGGTTGGTGTTGTAGCTGTCGTCGCTATTGCCCTAGGAGCAGGGATGTACCTTCTGAAGCGACATCGCCGGCGAGTGAATCCCACAGCTGGTCTTCCCCCTACCCCCCTAACCAAGCCAGCCCATGAGGCAGGACCGGGGAACCAGGTCTTTGAGGTTGATGGGGAAAGATATCTACTAGAATTGCCAGGATCTTCTGAATGATAATTTGCGTGGTGAAGAGCCTACCTACCACAGGCCTTGTATATGAATCATGGTTTAGTATAATAGTTGTCTTCGCTGCTAATTTCAGAGATATCGGGGATACCTATATTTTCCTAATCCTATAACATCGACGAGGTATGCACTTAGAAAGTTAGATGAGAATAGTTAGGTATACCTACCTTTGAGCTGAAGTGCAGTGTATTATTCTTCAGAATTTGTCTCAATGAGTTGCTGTACCCATATCCAAGCCGTTAGTAGCAAGTTAAAAGTGTTGGCTTCGCAACATGGGATGTCCATAGAAGGACCTCCGCCCTTGCAAAACTATTCAAACTTATGTTAGTACCAGCGTCAAGAACAAGGAATAGAAAAAATTGTTCCTCTTCTAGATCTTTCCCCAGAAATCCTCAACATCATCCTCAAATATGCTCTCTAATATTGTCGCCATCCACCGGGACATTCCCCCAAAGCGACATTAATCGCTGGTGCCTGACCAGTGACCAAACCCAGGGGCGAAGGGAATGGGATATACACAGTTGACTTGGACTTGTGATGGAACCTTTCGTTGTGAGTAGGCAGTGAGTCTGGATTGTGAGGGGTTTTGTATGAAGCAATGGCAGGCTCTCAGATTTTCTGCAAAAGTCGTGTTCCAGCTATGCTCCTCTGCTTGCTCCGCATATTGTATTGCTTCCTCTGCGTGCTGCTTTTTCTTTCTCCCTCTGACCCTCTGGTAATCTGCTTGTTCTTCAGCCTGTCTTAGAAGCGCGAGTAGCTCCTCTTTGCGTGGTTAAGTGCCTGAAGTCATTTGTGGACCCTATTAGCCCTGACCGTGCATAGTATTGTAATTAATTGTTAGATGAAATGGGCTGTTCAACAGCAGTCAGATACAGTACAGATCTTCATATACAATATCATTTTTAGAAGCAATGTTGGTTTGCAGATACATTATATTTAGCATCATACTTGATTGGCACAAGGTATAGAAATTCTCTTTACAGATTGGAGCCTCCCAAAGGTTCCAATATTATGTGTATATGCCTAGCAAACCATTCAGATCTAAAGAGACATTAGAACTGTCCTGAATTCTGTAGTATGTTTCCTTGAACACTTTTATGCATCACTACACACAGAAGCACAAGAAATAAGCGGCAGCACTGGATAGTTGTGAGCATTAGACTCAGTGAGAAGCAAAAGGTTCTCAATGTCAACCTTATTATTTTCTATGCAACGGTAAGGATACACTAAAGTAACTTATATACAAGCTCATCAACGCCTATGTTGTATTTCTAAGAGGCCTTGACCTAGTCAACCGCCATAATGATGGCCAACATTTCCTAAGAGAAGCTGTGGAACAGTCGGGAAAACGCCTTTGGAAGGCCTGCGTCACCTCTTTAACACGCGCTGCCTTCTGCATTAGCCCCTTCAGGAACTGGTCCTCTTCCTGGCTGTAAGGCCTGGCCTTCTGAACCAAGCTATGGAATTTTGTAGAAGCCTTTACTGCTTGCTCTCTTGCTTTAGCTTGTGTTAATGGCCCTGCTGATGCAAGATCCGCTCCTATCTTACTTCTGATTGTGCACATACCAAAAGAGCTCTGGATGATCAGGGACGGCTCTGTAACTGCTGACAATTCATTGCTCGTCAATCCTCATTCCAGCTCCTCGCTCAACAAACTCGGAAGTGGTGGGGCATGATGGATGAGCGTGTTGTTAATCTCAGGGACAGTGACGCCTTAAGATTCAATATCTCCCAGGGTTGGGCTTACATGTGACATTTGAGACGGGAAATAGATTCCAGGCCGCTCTGCCAAAGGCTTGCTCTCCAACTGCTCACTGAGGTTACATTCATCAGGCTGTTGGAGCTCACCATCTGATTGATATGAGATAGTCGTAGATGCCCCCAGAATCCGTGGGTCGATTGGAATGGTACTGGGAACGGAGCTTATTGCTGACTTGAACTACTACTACCACCGCCGGGCATATGCGGGGAACTTCCGGAAGCGGGCAAGCTCCACTTTGCTGCCTTAGGCGGCTGGGCACCGTGGTTGCCATGCGCTACCGCCTGTTGTTCCTCCCGCGAACCATGGAAAAAGTGCGGCTGGCGATGGATCACGGGTTTACTAGTACGTACTCGATACTTGCTTCCCCTTCCATCCCAGCTCAATTAGCCGTTTTCTGGTCATTGGGGGTCGAGTGTGCTCGACTTGTCCAGATCAGCCATAGAATCTTGCCGGGGCAGGAACTGCTGGTTGGGCTGTACGAGTTGCGCCTTGTGTGTCCGCTCTTTGTTGTATTTTGCGTATCAGCCTCGGATCCGCCCCCCCCTGAGCTACAACTCGGGTAGCAGCTCGCGCAACCATGGAGGGAGATATGGCCAGTCGGTATCAGATGATGGAGGAGCTGGGAAGTGAGTGGTTACCACCAGCCTAAAAATTTGCGATTGGCATTCACTGACGAGGAAATTTGTTGTTGGCAGGTGGAAGTTTTGGGACTGTGTACAAAGCTATTGAAAAATCTACCGGAGAGATTGTTGCAATTAAACATGTACGCCCTCACGAGTCCATGTCCTGTTTTCACTTCCCAATTGACCGTCTGGAAATGGTTCTAGATCGATCTCGAATCGAGCGAAGATGATATTCAAGAAATACAGCAAGAAATCTCCGTCCTGGCCACATGCGCAAGCCCCTACGTGACGCAGTACAAGGCGAGTTTTCTTCGGGGACACAAGCTGTGGATTGTCATGGAATACCTGGGCGGAGGATCTTGTCTCGACTTGGTAAATATATCATTTGGCCAACTGCGTCATTGGGACTCCGTGATCGCTAACTGTTACCTAGCTGAAACCCGGTGTCTTCAGCGAAGCGCATGTTGCTATTATCTGCCAACAGCTGCTACAAGGCATGGAATACCTACACAGCGAAGGCAAAATCCACCGCGACATCAAAGCTGCCAACGTCCTTCTCTCTCACACAGGAAAGGTCAAATTGGCCGATTTTGGGGTTGCGGCGCAGCTTACCAACATCAAATCGCAACGCAATACCTTTGTCGGGACCCCGTTCTGGATGGCTCCTGAAGTTATTCAACAAGCTGGATACGATTACAAAGCGGACATTTGGTCACTAGGGATTACCGCAATCGAGATGATCAACGGAGAGCCGCCCCATGCGAGTACGCACCCGATGAAGGTTCTCTTCCTCATTCCAAAGGAGCCAGCCCCTCGATTAGAAGGAAACGAATATAGCAGCGCTTTCAAGGACTTTATAGCGCAATGCTTGACTAAGGACCCGGAGCGAAGACCCAGCGCAAAGGAGCTTCTGAGACACAAATTCATTCGCAATGCAGGGAAGACCGAGGCGTTGCAGGAACTCATCCAACGGAAGCAAGATTGGGATGCCGGCAAAGGCGTGAGGCAGAACGTCAAGTACTATGCGGAGTCACTGTGGGTTCTTGTCATGGGTTTTTGAGTTGTTACATCCGCTAACTAGACTCACACAGCAATACTATCACGCGGCTGGATGACGACGACGGTTGGGTCTTCGACACTGTCAAGGCACCTCCCACATCGATACCAGAGGATCTGGACGACCTAGTATCTGACCGAGATACACGAGACCGTTTGTACGACGAAGCCTCGGAGTTGATGGACAATCTGCACATGTCCAGTCCGCCGCTCCCGCCGAAGCATGCCACAAACTCGACGGTGCGACGGACTCCAGCGGCCGACCGGAGCCTTTCTGTGCGACGGGCGAAGCGACGGTCAAGTGGCGTCAAGCAGCCCCTGGGTGTCGACTTGAGTTTTGGCAACAGCCCGTCAACAGTTCGCCAGTTCCGTCGGGTGTCGGATAAGATCGCGGCCGATCCCTCATACACAAACCAGTACCACATCGCTATTGATGAGAACGCAAGTCCCAAGACACTGTATTCGGATTCGAACAGTAAGGAGGCGCAGCTAGGGCGTCGAGCTTATAGCAAGGCTGTCGGCCTTGCTTGCCAGGAGGTCCTTGGCACTACTGCAGACCAGGAAAAAAGAGAAGCCATCTCCAGACTGGCAGAGGCCTGGAGCGACCTGGAGATGGTCGACCCCGAGGGCCTGTACCATATTCTCAAATCTATGAATGAGAAACTTCAGAGGTCAGTGATTGCAGATTCGATTGTCCTTCACTAGCGTCACACTGACTTTCGCCTCCTTTTCAGTGATTCTAAACTCGCAACTCTCGTCCCGCAAGCTCCACAACCCGAATCCCCACAGAGACCACGGCTCGTTTTAGCACAAAATAATCCACATCTGAAGAGCCACCGTCGCCGTCAGTCTGCAGCAGTGCCAGACTCCAATTGGCAGCCGGCGCAGTTGTCTAACCTCCCCGGTCAGCAGGTCCCGGGAATGGAACACACCAAGCAATTGTCGGATGTCCTTTACCAGCGTTGGTCCGACGGCCTTCGTAATCGCTGGCCTGGAATCTAATTTCGTCTACTCTTTTGCTGACCATGCTGGAGCACTTTCCCTTTCGCTGTATAAAAGGTTCTGGGGCGTCACAGGCTTCGATATATGATCTTTTTTTCCCTCCCGGTTTGCTGATTTGCCATTTTTTTTTTTTTCGATTTCTTTGGCATACAACCCTCGTTCTCAATGTCTCACTAGGGCGTTCATTCTGTCACTTGGCTTGTTCATTTCTCTGATGGGTTGAAATGCTGGTCAATGATACCCACTTCGAGATTGGTCTCTGTCCTTCGCTGCGGTGGGAGAGCATGTATGGTAGTACATCTAACTGCAGACTTGACCTCTACTCAGCAGCTGACCTTGGTCTCTTTCTTTTTTCTTTTGGTTTGCATAAGGATTGGTCCAGGTGTTCACATTTTTGGATTACTTTCTGGTGAATCTGTTAACTGTTCGTGTGTGACTATCAGAATTTTTCTCTGTCCAGCATTGATTGTGTGATTACCTCTGCTTTTGTTTCATCATAGACTCTGTGTCCTTCGAGGGCCCTGTGTTGCAGAGCATTTTGCTTCCGTTCTCCCTGTGATATATGTGTTGCTGGTCATTAATTGTAGCTACTGTGATTCATTCCTGTATGTTGTGTTTGTTTGAGGCGTGGATATAGCGACTCTTTGGAGAAAATAATGATAATCCGATGTATTCATCGATCTGACTAGATCACTTCTTCATCTGTATGTCTGTAATCTTCTAAAATTATAAATTCTATCTCGATCACTCAATGCATACCGCTGCATAGTGCAGTTTTCGTCAACAAGCCGCAAATGAGGCTTCCTGAATAATCATCCTGTATTATTGTGAGACTCGATTACGACCTACCTAATTAAAGATGGGGGGACTGCCAATTGGAGCCCAGACTCGAGATGATCGTGCCCCCTGAATGGATGAAACGAGGCCGTCGACGCTGGAGGCGGCAAGGATGCGCAGTGGGAGACCCGCTGCTTTCTTGACGTCCTCCTGAGTCGTCACTCGTCAGGCTAAAGAAGTCTAGTCTAAGAGACTACGGGGAATTCTGGGCCAGGCGGTCTGTTGGCTTTAGTCAATTAGACTGTTTGATTAAGGTGGACTTGCTTTCTTTAGGGGAGACGGTCCTCATTTCCACCTGTCCAGCAATGCGGCCAGACCTCTGCATAATTTCTCCGAGTCTTTCTCCCTTCTCTCTTTCCATCGCTTCCTTGCTTTGATTCCTTCTTCATCAGTCCATCGCTATCATTTGGCTGGCCAATCCTCACGCTCATTTTGTCATGATTGATCTACTCTAAGTACAATCGCTACGTTCTACGCTTTATTCTGCCCCGAAGATGGGGAGCTCCCCGGGAACGGGCGACGCGGAACCTGCGCCGGAAGCGTCCCAAACATTGTCGCCATCGTTCCAAAGTCAGCAGGAACAGCCAGCTGCCAGTGCTGAAGCTTTGTCTGTGATACAACGTCGTCAAGAACTCCAGCAGAAGCGATCATCCATTCCCCCCCGACCGAACGGTGCTGCTCGACACGCAAAACGTCTAACCCTCAACTTTCCTATCAACGTTGTCCCTGGTCTTGAATCCGATCCAAGCGTCACCTCCCCTGAATCTATGACACCTGTTACATACTCATCGACCCGTCCATCTCCTGCCCCTGCCGCCGGAACTCCGATCGTTTTCGATGATCAAGATGATGGCTCTAGTCTTCTGACCGCCATTGCGTCACAGGAACGGAAGGTGTTAGAACTCCGCGAGGAGCTTCAGCGGGCGGAGGCGGAGCTGGATACTTTAAAGAAACAATGGGCTTCTTCGGAGAAGACAAAGAAACGCACGGAGATTAACCACCGAGCCGAGCCTTTGCTCCCTCTGCGGTCTCCTGACCACGCAACCCCTGACGAATCGAGCCAGCATCGTAGAGAACGCAGTGCAGGCACAGCGGATGGCTCTTCGGCCGTGCAAACTCGACTCAGCCGCGATCTCGAGCGGCGCCAAAGCCTACGAGCGACCGCGAATGCCGGCACCGCGATATCTGCGAATGGACGGCGTGTGTTCCAGGGGTCTCATACGCGGGCGTTGTCGCTGCTCTCGCCCGTTCATGGTCCTGGTGTAAACAAGCAGTTTGGTACTGATGCGGACGGCAACCGTGCGACCAGGACGCCGCGGTCGGCGACATTGCCCTCTGTTGAACGCACTGCAACGACCGAGATGGGCGAACGGCCTACAGAGGATATGATCTCTCAGTGGCGGAGAACCATGCCGCCCCCGTCTCGGGAGGCACTAGTGCGTACCGGCAAGCAGATGGCTTCAGATCTGAGAGAAGGCTTGTGGACATTCCTGGAGGACATTCGACAGGCTACCGTGGGCGAAGAGGGAATCAATGCAACCCAGTCGAGAGGCGTGGCCCCCGCGCGGAAACGAGATTCCAGCTCCGCGTCCCGAAGCAGAGACCGTTTGTCGGTGCATGGAGGCAAATCATCGCGGTCACCGTCGTCCTCACGGGGCAAGGCGGCAGGGACACAATTATCTGGTAAAGACACTAAATCGGCGGACATAGACGTGTCGTTCTGGAGTGAATTCGGCATTGATGCAACTGGGCAGAAGTCCCCGAACGCTCGCGGAGCCTCAAATACCCCACGCGGGGCGACCGAACAAGAAACCTCCAACAATCTCGACGTTGAAGAGAACTGGGATGACTGGGATACTCCCCAACCCAAGAAGATGCACACCCCTTCGTCGAGCCGCTCCACGCTGGAGTCCAAGCAAGACCAGTCTCCGACGACACAGAACAGTAGCCCTCGTACAAGCGGCAGGTATGCTATTTGATCTATTCCAGGCTTGAAACTCGCTGTCTGACCTGGTTGATATGCGCTGACGTGGAATAGCTTTGGCGACTGGCGCGCCACGCAAGATGACTTCGTCCCCGATCCCAGCGTATCTGATGGCATTCCCTGGCCTGCAATAACCAAATTCGCTCCCTCGAAGCTCACTCGGACGGCATCCAATTTGATGGCCGAATGGGAGCGCAGTCTTTCGCCCTCGCCTGAGAGAAAGAATCAATCGAGTTCCCCGCCGTTCAACAAGGACGATAAGAAAGACTGAACCCGTCCGTGTATTATCCGACTTCATGACCCTTGGACCTGAATACATGCTCCTTTCTGCTTCACGCTGCACTGTAAATACAAACATATATGGACATGCGCTCTACCTAGCTGGATCTCTGCATGGACCAAGTACAAACTCACGCAGGGCTACGATTTATCATTCGAATACCCTTACGACCACAGCGTTTTGTTCCAGCCAATTCTTCGGATGTGCCATTCTATGACTTCTTTTCTTCCTCTGTTCCCTGGTTCTAAACATGTTTGATGAAGCCCAGTTCCGACCACGGATTATGTTTGACCACATTATGTACACATATCTTGGCCCTTTCACATTTCTATTTGATTTTTGCAATTAGATATATTCAAGCCAAATTCTTCTCCAGCTCCATGAACATCTCGACAATATATTGGTGGAGCCGAAAATAGTCCAGCTGATCATGTGATCTACTGCGCTTTTGGCTGCTTTACTCCGCCGTAAAATAAATTTGTTTTCGCCATCTCCGCAAAATATCCGGGGTTGATTATCGCGCCTGTGGATTGAACTCGGCGACCTCACTTCCATTTAGCGACTTGAATTTTTCTTTTTTCGTTTACGAGAATTCTACTAGCAGAATTCCCGCGCATACATTGCAGCACTCGATAGCCTCTGCGCTGAGAGACATCCCCCGCACTCCAACATGAGCTTTCCAGGAATGACTCCGCCCATTGGCGGCATGGGAGGAGGAAGCCAGATGCAGGGCATGAGTGAGCAGGAGCAGGCAATGGTCAAGGCGGTTCGTTACGCAAACATCGTATTCTACCGGCTACATGCTAAACACAAAACAGATGCACGCTGCAATGGAATCCTGTCCCGTCAAGACCGCCATCTCCGGTACAATGGGTTTTGCGCTGGGTGGTGCGTTCGGCTTGTTCATGGCTAGTGTACGTTGAATTCTGATATTCCCAACCTCAGAAGACGGGTTTCTGACGTCTCTTCTTCTAAATAGATGTCATACGACTCCGCATTCACCCCTCAAGGAGCCGCGATCTCGGACCTCCCCTGGCGCGAACAACTCCGTCGCGGATTCAAAGACATGGGCGCCCGCTCCTGGTCCTCGGCGAAGAACTTCGGTATCGTCGGTGCCCTCTACGCCGGCACGGAGTGCTGCATCGAGGGACTGCGGGCGAAGAACGACCTCACCAACAGCGTTGCGGCCGGTTGCATCACGGGCGGTATCCTCGGTGCGAAGGCTGGCCCGCAGGCTGCCGCCGCTGGCTGCGTTGGTTTTGCGGCTTTCAGTGCGGCGATCGATGCGTATATGAGGATGCCGTCGGAGGAGTAGTCGGGCTTCCGTCACTATTCTGTTTGCCCGAACAGAGGGTTTGCGAAACATGTATAAACATTGGCGCGGCGTTGGGTTGTTCTTGTGATTGGGATAGATATGGGCAGCATTTCGGGCGTTCTTGGTTGAACTTTCTTTTACTTTGCTTGATGCGGATGAGGTGCTTTGTCCGCGCGTGCATATACTCCGCTTCTGCGCGTTTTGTGCATATGGTAGATCTTGAGTGAGCACTGACTTGTGTGGTATGTGGGCGACTCGCAGCTCAAGTGTACAATAAGTGATATGGGTTTAGAGGGTGCGGATACAGGCATAATACTCCGATCTGCTTAACCACTAGGCTTCTTTTTGAACTCTCCTGTAGACATGATTAGATTAGCAAACCTCAAAAAATAACAAATTAAATACGATAACAGCTCTGATTTCAAGGGGTTTTATCTCTCTATAAGGACAAATTTTGTCTAATATCCATATGAACCGCATGACATTCCTCTTTGCCCCGCGAGATGCATATTGGCTATACTCATGACGTAGGAGGCAACATTATATATTCCGCAGAACATCCGCAAAATATCAAGTTGACAATGCTGACTGCGCCCGTCTTCACTGATGCTATTAGTCTAGAAGATGAGCTGTACGGTAGGTCTAAAGCAGAGCGAGACACGATCAGTTCTTCTAACTCGATCAAGCAAGTCGAGTATTCCGTTGACAAGCCGCTGAACCGGGAGCCCTCCGTCAAGAAACTCGTCGCGAGGTATGTGCCGTCCACTTTTTCGACTGTTGTTGTAACACAGTAAGAGAGATACACGGATAATAATACTAAAGTAGCATTTAGCTTCCTAACACCCGCGGATATTTCCTTTGATCGGAACCACGGGCCCATCCCCCATCTCTCGGCAGACTCCCATAGAGTCCAAGTCGACGGCCTAGTCTCAAATCCTCTCGCCCTATCTGTCCATCAGCTCGCAAGAGAATTCCCCCAGCATGAAGTCGTATGTGCCCTGGCATGCGCCGGGAACCGCCGGCACACGATGCGCACCATGCTGAAGGAAGTGGAGGGCATCGACTGGGGCGACGCGGCGGTCATGAACTGTAAATGGAAGGGGCCTAGGCTAAGAGACGTATTGCTTCGCGCTGGGGTGAGGGAAGACGCGCGCAAGGACGGGCTGTATGTGGAGTTTTCATGCTACCAGGTGAAATGTCAGGATGATGATTGGTTTGGGGCGAGTGTGTCGCTGGAGAGGTGTTTGGGGGAGGACGGGGATGCGATTCTTGCTTTGGAGGTGGGCCAGGAGACTTGTTAACTTGGAGACGTGATGACCGCTCACTCACTGATGGAATGGCAACAGATGAATGACGCTCCTCTCCCCGCGAACCACGGGTATCCTGTGCGTGTTATCCTGCCTGGCATTGTCGGCGCCAGGTGGGTCAAATGGCTAGACCGCATCACCGTCTCGGACCATGAGTCGCCCAACTTCTACCAGCAGCTCGACTACAAGGTCCTACCGCCAACTGTGGTCGATCAGGAGTCGGCGCAGCCGTTTTGGGAGCAGATTCCCCCCATGTCCGATATGCCTATCAACTCCGTTGTGGCGGTCCCAGAAGATAACGAGACGGTTGTCTTGTCCAGTTCAGGGGTTATGGAGATAAAAGGGTATGCTGTTCCGAATGGTGCGGGTGGACCGGTTACTCGCGTGCAGGTTTCAATGGATGGAGGAAAGACCTGGATAGATGCCAGAATTGAGGAATCTGGGCAGGGAAACAGGCGATGGTGCTGGGTGTTGTGGACGGCAGCTGTCTGTCCTGAAAGAGGAACGGGGAGGGAGGTTCTGAGCCGAGCTTTTGATGCTGGCGGGCATGTACAAGTCGAGCATTCGCAGTGGAACCTGAGAGGTGTTGGGTATGATGGGTATGGGCGAGCGAGGAATCTAACAATCATTTAGTGCACGAAGGACTTTGATGATTCGTGCGAATCGAGGTATCCAAAGAGTTTGAATGGCAAGGAAGACTCTTCGATTGACTGACAGACTGCTGTGTGAAAAGCCATAACGTAAAATCGTGAAGTTGTATTCACCGGTCTAATGTAAAAACACTATACACAACAGCCAAATCATGGCAACACAACGTATTTCTCCAGGTGCTTGGGAATCGAGCTCCTGAGACCCTTGCTCTGAAGCCAGGTGTTGGAGAAAAGCCGGTCAGCATACCGGTAGGCACCATCGCACAGAATGGTCACCACATTGCTACCCTTGGGGAGCTTCTCGGCGACCTCCTTAGCGGCGACGACGTTGAGCGCGGAGCTAGCGCCCAGGTAGAGACCCTCCTCATCAAGACAGCGGTAAACCATCTCAATGGTCTTTTCGTCGCTGATGGTGAGCGATCCGTCGAGCAGGTCGATGTCGGGCTGCAGGTTGTCGGTGACACGACCCTGGCCAATGCCCTCTGTGATACTGCTTCCACTGCGCTCGGTCAGGTTTCCGCCGCTCTGGATGTAGCTGTGGAGAACACTGCCCGGAGGATCGGCAAGGAAGCACTTAACGCGGCCATCGCTGGCGGTCTTGAGGTATCGTGTGATACCAGCCAGAGTGCCTCCTGTTCCAGTAGCACATGTGAAGGCATCGACCTTTCCTTCAGTTTGAGCCCAAATCTCGGGCCCAGTTGTCTCAATGTGGGCTTGGCGGTTGGCGGTGTTGTCGAATTGGTTCGTCCATACGGCATTTTCCAGAGACTCGGCATGTCGGCGCGCCTGGTGGTTGTAATTTTGAGGGTTGTCGAATGCAACAGCGGGCACAGGATAGACCTCAGCACCCAGAAGACGCAGCAGGTCGATCTTACCCTGCGACTGAGTGTTGGGCATGTAAATGACAAGCTTGTAGCCTTTGGATCGGCACACATGCGCCAAACCAATACCGGTGTTGCCAGCTGTCCCCTCAACGACCGTACCGCCTGGTTTCAGAAGACCCTTCTCTTCCGCGTCCTTGACAACGAATAGCGCCGCACGGTCCTTGACGCTGCCACCGGGGTTCTGGAACTCGGCTTTGCCGAAGACATTGCATCCGGTTTCCTCAGAAAGTCGCTTCAGTCGGATGAGAGGGGTGTTTCCAATAGCTGCAAAAACAGAGACCGGTTAGCATGCTGCAATTGCTCTATCAACGTGAGATGTCCATTGCGGTATCCTATACCTTCCGTCAAACCGTTCACGACGCCCTGAGCTCTGGATACCCGCTCATGGTAAGCGGTCGATGCCTCCACGGCGCGGAGGGCAGTTGTGCCAAACCGGCGTACACTTTGTCGGAACATGCTTCCCTATAGACCACAGTTCCTCCAGAACATCCGTAACGGTACTCACACCAGAGAAAGCCGAAATGACTTGCGAGAATAAGTTCCCCAGGTTCTCCTACGCCGAGGATCGGCATTAGTCATCTTTCGATCACGTGAACTATGGCGTGATGAGGCTTGTAATGAGTTGATGAGCTTATGGAGCCAGCCATTGCCTCTTCTGTTCGAGTTGGTCTTCGCAAATATAACGTGACTCTTATAAATACGGCTGGTATAAGAGCAATTTCAAGCAAAGCAGTCTGTCCCGTGGCAATACGGGGATGTTCAGGTAGATCGATGCTTGTACGTAGAAACAATGACAGATGCCATGGGGAACACGTGCCATGAGCCCTAGCCCTTATCTTAGTGCTTCCCGTTTGGGCTGTTTGTTTATTCTTGGGCCCCCGTGACAGCGATTTGCTTTGAGAGTGGTACCTCCGCGCTGCTGAAAGAGGACAGTCCTCTTGACCACGATTCATATTCAATCACACAACTGATACTATACAGCAATAAATGAGATATAAATGACTACTCTGAGATGATCCAAGTCTTTTTTCGATACTAAATCTTCCGCCACATTTGACAGGATTGTACGCCATTCCTCACTACCAAGCAGAATGCCTGGTCGAGTTTCCGCCCGTTCGACCTCTGCGCCGACACGCAGGTCATCGGCTCAACCTTCAGCTTCGGGAGGTCGCGCCGCGTCTGCGACCCCATCCTTTGTGATCCCAGAGGAACCTGCTCCGCCCGAAGCATCGCCTAACCTACGCCGCGATGTTTGTATGATTTTTGCTGATGCCCAGCGTTCAACGACCGGTCACCGAAAGCTTGTCGTGCGATTGAGGAAGCTGCAGGAGATTTGCTGTGAAATTTCTCCGAAAAAGACGAAGAAGGATGGCAAGGGCTCTGAGATTCGGGAGGAACTTTTACTGCCGCGCGAAGAAACCATTCCGGAGAAGGAGTTCAATGTAGAGGTTGGTCGCTGTTTGCTGCGCATACTGCCGATAAAAAAGACCGAGCCAGTTGGCGATCGAATTCTGCGGTTTGTTGGCACTTTCCTATCTCACGCGACTGAGAAAGATGCCGAAATCTTCACCTCCGAAGATGACGATGATGACATGCAAAACATCATCGAGACCCCAACTGCCCGGCTGGCGGCTCATTTGATCAACATTGTTGTGCCGTTGTTGGCGGCAAAGGACAAGATCGTGCGTTTTCGCGCGACACAAATTGTCACCCACATTGTCAATTCTCTCGAAACAATCGACGATGATCTCTACCATACCATTCGACAGGGACTATTGAAACGGATTCGAGACAAGGAGCCCTCAGTGAGGGTACAAGCTGTGATGGGGCTTGGGCGCCTGGCAGGAAACGAAGAAGAAGATGACGACGAAAATGATGATAGTTCCAAAGCCCTCCTGGAAAAGCTCATTGACATAATGCAGAATGACACAAGTGCTGAAGTGCGAAAAACGTTGTTGCTCAATCTGCCTCTAGTGCCCGCGACTCTCCCGTATCTGCTCGAACGTGCACGAGATCTCGAAGCAACAACCCGACGAGCCTTATACTCCCGCTTACTTCCCACCCTGGGTGACTTCCGCCATTTGTCGCTTTCCATGAGAGAGAAGTTGCTTCGCTGGGGCCTTCGAGACCGAGATGAAAGTGTTCGAAAAGCCACAGGAAAATTGTTTTATGACCGCTGGATTGAAGACTGCGCTGGTACAAACAACGATTCCGAAAATGGTCCTTCCAATCAGCGTTCTCCCCCAAACATCCCCGCGCTGCTGGAACTGTTGGAGAGAATTGATGTGGTCAGCTCTGGGATGGATTCCGGAATTGCGCACGAGGCCATGCGCAGCTTCTGGGAGGGCCGCCCCGACTATCGAGAGGCGATTGTTTTTGATGAGCCGTTCTGGGAATCCTTGACGGCCGAGTCAGCCTTTCTTCTACGATCCTTTAACGACTTCTGCCGTGTCGAGAACGAAGGAAAGTTCGATAGTCTCGCCGACGAGAAAATACCTGAGGTGACAGCCTTCGCACATTTTTTGAAAAAATACATGACCGAGCTCCTACAAAGGAAGAAAATGGCCAAGGACACTAGTGAAGCAAACGACGACGACACTGTTGAGAATGAATTTGTCGTTGAACAACTATTACATATCGCCATCACACTGGACTATAGTGACGAGGTCGGCCGCCGGAAAATGTTCTCCCTCCTTCGCGAGTCCCTAGCCGTGCCCGAGCTACCTGAAGAATGTACCAAGCTCACCGTCGAGACTTTGAGATATGTGTGCGGACCAGCTGCCGCGGCTGAGAGCGAATTCTGCAGTGTCGTTCTCGAAGCTATTGCCGAAGTCCATGATACCATTGTGACCGAAGAGAGTTTTGTTTCGGCCAAGTCTGAAATCAGCGACGCGACCTCCAGCCGTCAACGGTCTGAGACCCCGGCCGACAGCGAAGCTGAAGTACCCTTCAATAAGGAGGAGGCAAAGGCCAAAGTTTTGCGCGAAATCGTGGTCAATATGAAATGTCTGCATATTGCGCAATGTATGTTGCAAAACGTGAAAGGCAATCTGCAACAGAACATGAACCTGGTTACTATGCTCAACAATTTGGTCGTGCCAGCGGTTCGAAGCCACGAGGCTCCGATCCGTGAAAGAGGTCTAGTCTGCCTTGGTCTCTGCTGCTTGTTGGACAAGGTGAGTTTTCTAGACATCAACCGGCATATTTTCCCAGCAAAAGCGCTGACTCATTATTTCCCCCGACCTCAGACTCTCGCCGAAGAGAATATGACGCTCTTCATCCACTGCTATAGCAAAGGCCACGAAGCCCTACAGGTCACCGCCTTACACATTTTGTGTGATATGGTAACGACGCATCCCTCGCTACTCACCCCTGTCACACAGTCTGATGGGGAAACCGTTTCCCCGCCAGTATTCCAGAAGCCACTGCTCAAGGTCTTTGCAAGAGCCCTGAAAGCTAGCTCTCCGAACAGTGTCCAGGCTGCTGCGGCCACCGGCCTTTCAAAATTGTTGCTCACAAATACTTTTACCCCGTCTGGAGCGAACATCCCACAGGCCATACAGGAGTACAACGAGTCCGCTGTGGAGACCCTCTTGCAATCGCTCATCGTTTCTTTCTTCCACCCGCGTACTCGGGAGAACCCGGCCTTTAGACAATCCTTGGCCTATTTCTTCCCTGTTTACTGCCATTCCCGCTTGGAGAACACCCAACACATGCGAAAGGTGACGGTTCCCGTTATCCGTGCGGTTCTCAATGCGGCGGAGGAGTACTACTCCCTAGAAGCCGAGGAAGATAGTGATGGCGAGATTGATGAGACTGTTGGGCAGAGGGAGCTGAAGACCCTGATGGCAGGTGTCTTAGGTATGCTTGCCGAATGGACTGATGAGCGGAGAGTGGTGGGCCTGGGAGGAGAGAAAATTCTTGCGGGTGCTCCGACGAGCTCCAACGCCTGTGGATTCGTGCACTTGGCCCTGGTGAAAGATATCCTGGAGCGTGTTCTGGGAATTAGCACCGGTCCCAACCGGTGCTCCAAGGAAGAAAAGAAGCTTCTATTCTCGCTGATGAGTAAGCTTTATATATCGCCGCCTGTGGTGCCATCGCGATCTGGGTCTAGGAACCCCGAAGGCGACGATCCATTCCGCTCCAGCATCCGGAGTGCCAGTGGAGGAGAAATCTCCCCTGAGAACGCCGCTCTTGCCCAGGAAGTCAAGGAATTACTGGACGAAACCATCCAAGAGGGTCTCGCGGCCGAAGCAGCGGGTCGAAATGCGCTTGTGAAGGTGAAGAATGCGGTCCTCAAGCTTCTCGCAGCTGCGCAGGGCACCCGGTCTGAGAGTGTGAGGCCGCGCGAAGGCACCGAGGAACCCGAAAGTGATGCCATGAGTGTCCGTTCTGGGAGTGTTCGGCCGTCGATTGAGCACCCAGGCAATCGCCGGCGGATGTTCTCAGTAGAGCCCAGCATTATGGAGGAGGATGAGAACGATGACAGTCGAGGAACCATCATCAAGTCTGAAGCTCATGACGACTGAGGGCGTAGGTCGCTTGGTGCTTGATTCATTTCTTTCTTTTGCGCCGGCGTTGAATGACGGTTACTGGGCTGATGGATGGAATGGGTTATGACATGGTTATGAGGTTTTCATGTAATTATTGATTTGCTGAATTGGTGTATATGATTGACGCTGCTTCATTCAATTTATTGAACCTCTTGGTTTCTCGTGAATGCTCTACCTTTGATAACCTCATGATTTAGGGACTGAATGGTGGATGCTGACTACTAGTGGAATATGATTACGGCTTTTAAACTTACCAAGTACCAGATGGGGTCTCTCGGATGCGAGACTGGCCGATCCAAGGATCAAGGAACAAAGTTAGGACCAGAGGTTCAGTCGGAATGTCTTATCTACAGAGGTAGGTACCTGAGGTTGCCTTTAATCGACTTTAAATAACCTTGACAATCGGAATGTAACCATCCATTCTCAATGGCATGACATGGATTGACAGATCTCTCCCGTCCCAATCGTCCAATAAGACTTCGATCGTCTGCATCTCGTTGCTGTCACCGTGAGATTGCAGTAAGGTGGAATCCAAGTCGAACCACATGTCTCAGCCTGAGATACTTCAATTTCTATCGATCGATTCTCTATCTATCCATCTATCCATATTCCAAGTGTTTATGTTTCAATCATCTTCTGACGAGTCAGGATAAATATTTTGATGACATATACGAGGAGTATTCCTTCTAGTGGTCTAGCTAGCTACCCAGGTACATCTATCGAGACTAAGGTAGGTACCAGGATAGAAACCTGTTTATTACCTAGGTAGTACTTCTGTATATACTGTCTGGTAATATCATCACCTCCAACTTATTAATTGCACGTAACTCTTGCACGTCCTATATATAAGATTAGGGACATCACCTAAGACACCTCAGATATATGAGTATCTCATGGTGATGGAGCTTGTAAGGGAGCACTCTTCCGACGCGTTAGAGGCTGTGACACTATTAGAATCTTGTCCCTATCAGATTACTCCTCTATTATTAACAATCACATCAAAACTGTCGCCTATTGAGATGAATTGGGACTCCTGATTACTTCTATCCTGAATTTCTGACCCTTATTAGCTTCATCTTGGATTTCTGACATTAAGTATCCCAGTAGTCTAGGTACCTATCTACTGTCTGTCACCGGTGTATCTCCACTCCCTTTCCCCTCAGACCCGAAACTTTTCTTTTTATTAAATCTCGACGCTCCACCACCACCAGAAAAACCACCAAACGGACTCGCTCTTTACTGCTAACTGCCTTAACTAAGTACCTTAACCAACTACTGCTAGCTTGGCCTGGGGACTTTCTCTTCCCTTCTCTCATCTCTCTCTCGCTCTCTCGCTCCCTCGCTCCTCTCCATCTCCCCCTCCCCTCAATCCTCCTTCTCCTTACCCTTCTCTTTCTTGTCCTTTTTTTTCTGCTTGTTTCTTTTCTTTCTTTTTGTTGTTTGCATCTTAAATCACGGCAGTCCAACTGGTCGTGATTTAAGGTCTTCTGCTCAGCTTTGCAGAGACACTTTTTTTCCACTCCTCCCCCCCGTCGTCCCCTTTCCCTCGCCGCTCCGTTGGCAGTGAGTTCGGAAAAAAAAGAGACAACTACCTGAGCGATGGCCACCGTCTCAGCACCTACCCCTAAGCTGGATCGCTACGTTGTCATCCACGTCGCAACCACCTGCGATGAGCATGGCGTCTACGTCACCAAAGATTCTGCAGAGGTGATCGAATTGGGGTGGATTCTGTTGGATACCAAAACCTGCGAGGAGGTGGGCTCTATTTTCCTGAATCGACAACAATCGGCCTTTTTTCCTTCCCCCCCTCCTCCTTGCGCCTCTCTCTTCACCCCCTTCCCCTCTCAGTACTTAGGCCACCACCGCTGTTCGTCCGCCTGTCGCTGACTCGGACTTTTGTTCTCTGCTTAGCTACATCGCGAAAGTGTTCTCGTCAAGCCCGTCAACACTCCAATTACGCCTCTTTGCAGTAAGTCGTCCTTTTTTTTTTTCCCTTTTTTTTTTTATCTATGCATCTACCCAATTTCAACCGAACACGCTTCCTTGAATTTCGATCCCCTGCTCCTGCCCAGTTTCCCATTCACCGGATGCATCGGTCTGTTGGTTCAATGGCTGACAGTTTCTGACAGCAAGCCTTACAACTCTGACATGGGAACACGTCCGCTCAGCAGGTACCTTCCGTGACGCCATCAACCGTTTCGATGCCTTTGCCCAGGAACACCTCATCAGCAAAAATCTCGAGTTCGCTTTTGTGACGTTGGATTCGTGGGATCTCCGAGTGCAGCTGCCCCGTGAGGCTCGTGACAAGGCCGTCGTTCTTCCCCCATATCTTCAGCACTCACGGACCTTTGACCTCCGCACCGAGTATCAGAGATGGCAAACTCATCACCCCGAGTCTCTCCCTTTCGGTCCCAGCTCCCTTTCCAACATCTGCGCTGCGCTTGAAGTTGAACCTGTTCAGTCCTCCGCTCCGATCAAGCATAATCTCCCGTTCCACCTTCAGGCATTGGCCCCCGCCTCTCCTCGCCGGGCAATGGAGGAGGCCATCACTCTGGCTCGCGTTCTCCGCGGCTTGATCCGCAAGTCTCAGCCGCCGCACGAGCACCCGGAGATCTTGACTCGACCCATGGATGCCAGAGCGGATGTTCGTGCCTTTTTGACAGAGCGCAGCAAGGTTCTCCATCTGAGCGGTCTGCCCCACGACACTACCCAGTCGGAATTGGAAAGCTGGTTCACCCAGTTCGGTGGTCGTCCGATCGCTTTTTGGACTCTCCGGACACCTGATCAACATAAGCCCACTGGCACTGGCTTCGCCGTTTTCTCATCGCACGAGGAGGTGTGTACTCTTAAGCTTGTTCCTCCGTTTTTTTCCCCTTGTATGACTAACCCTGGATGGCAGGCTGCTGAAAGTCTTTGTATGAACGGCCGTGCCTTGAACGAGAAGGCCATTGAGGTTTCCCCCTCTTCCAGCCGTGTCCTGGACCGTGCCGCTGAGATTTTGACTCCTTTCCCCCCATCCAAAAACCGTCCCAGACCCGGCGATTGGACCTGCCCCTCCTGTGGCTTCTCCAACTTCCAGCGCCGTACGGCTTGCTTCCGCTGCTCGTTCCCCGCCATGGCTGCTGCCCCTGACCCGATGGGTTATGGAGCCTACGGCTATGGCCCCCCATCCATGGTGCCCTCGCACATGGGCCATGGCCATGGAATGGGCCACCCTCGTGGTATGGGTGGTAACGGTGGTGTGGTCCCTTTCCGTGCTGGTGATTGGAAGTGCGGCTCCGAGGGTTGCGGCTACCACAACTTCGCCAAGAATATCAACTGCCTGCGTTGCGGTGCACCTCGCTCAGGGGCTGCAGTTGTCGCTGACTCTGCGTTCCCCTCGCCCATGGACCCTCCGGCTGGGTTTGGCATGGGCCCCAACTCGATGACCAGCACCCCTGCTCCTGGTCCCTTTACTTCGGCCGCCGGTGGATTTGGTGGTTTCAACCAGCAATTCGCAGCTCCCCCAAACAACTATGCTTTGCCTTCAGGTCTTGGTAGCGCCCCTGGGGCCTATCCACCGATGGGTCAGATGAACGCCGGCTATGGCTCCACCAATGCCTCGCATACCACCTCGTCCTTCTCCAACCCTGCCACCCAGGCTGCTTTCAGTGGAGCTGACCACGCCTCCTCGACGAGCGCCTCGAATGGCGGATTCTATGCGACGGACGGCTCAAATGATCCCTTTGCCTTCCTTTCGACAGGCTTGGGCGGCTTGACGGTATCTGACGACGCTCACTCCCGTCGTAATGGCACTGGCGCCAGCAAGTCCCCTGCTTAAAAAAGGGGGGCACAACTCTTTGGGTAACCTTCTCATCAGCCCGATTCCCCCTCGCCTCAGTGGTTTGTCAATATGAAGGTCTGAGTCTGTTGGTATATGTAACGGTTGATATTCGTTGAATGCGCGTTTGTATAAGGGAATCTGCAGTTCTGGTGCATAGGGTTGGGAGGAGCAGGCCGGTAGCGTGTCGTCGTTTCATCCGATCTTGTTTGTTTTTTGTTCATCTTTCACATTGTCTCGCAGCCTTTTCTGGTCCACCACCTTTCGGCCTGTTTTACTATTGCGTCTTTGGAAGCGATGTTTGAGGGTATAGAAAACTGTCTTTGGTACAGTGAATGGCAGGCGGGCAAGGGGCGCTTTCATTCGTCGATTGTCCTCGACTGGTTTTGATCATCATCCTTCACCTGGGTTGGTTTGAGCTGCGCACATTCTTCTCATGGGGCATCTTTCGACGGAGCTTCTTTTCTTCTCCAAGCGCATAACCTCGCTCCAGCATTGCAAGCAGTGGTGGAGGCTCAAACATGGCATTGCATTCTAGATATTGCTGTTTCTTCTGCACTCGGAATTACTGGAGAATCATGGTATTGATTATGGATGGGATACAATGGGATGGACTCTCATTGGGGGTGTTGGGGTATTTCTTCTGCGTCAGCAAAATTTCAACACATTTGGGACACATGTGAGGCACAAAGATCGGGTATTGCGAGTGCAAGAAGATTGTTCTATATGTCTATAATTCCTCTGTTCCCCTTCTCTGACGTTGTCTTTTGACTACCATAGTTTTACAATATGAAAAGTCGATGTTACGCTGTAAGCCGATTTAAGAACTGCTTTGGCACCAGCACGATTTTGGTGCAAGAAAGGTAGAAACACGATGGTCTGGGCTGCCTTCTGGCTGTTCCAAGTGTAGCATTCATTGTTAACTATAAGGTAAGAAGATAGAATGACTGTTCAATCACTTTGAACTCTCGTACACCTGTCATGGAAGTTTGGTTGACGTAGCAAATAGCCGCGCGCCTAGCGCCTGGGAGCTCTGAGGCAACCGCGGGACTCGCGTTCACCTTCATCCCGTCATCACCCCCAGGTCGGAGACATAATCCTCAGCATTCAGCAAACAACATTACGAGCCATTCACTTACACCCTTTCTAATCTTTCTATCACCGCTTCCTTCATCCCATACCTATCTCCTATCAACGCAGCACTTCTCACAGTCCACAATGTCGGGATATGACCGAGCTCTTTCAGGTAAGGCAGCTTAGCTACCTTAGCTTCTTGCATCATTGGTCTAGGGGACAGCTTATTCTGACAGAGATATAGTGTTCAGGTATGCTCTGATATACTTTAGAGCTTTAGAAGCCGCTCTCTGACCATAATAATAGCCCCGACGGGCACGTCTTCCAGGTGGAATATGCCATGGAAGCTGTCAAGCGAGGTAGGTCAATCCGTCTTCTGAAGCTCTCCAATTTGATTATATTCAATTTCACACTGACCCATCTCTGCACTGAACAGGAACCTGCGCTGTCGGAGTAAAAGGCAAAGATGTCGTCGTCCTGGGCTGCGAGAAGCGGTCTGCTCTCAAGCTTCAAGATACCCGCATCACACCGTCGAAGATTGCCCTGCTTGACACTCACGCCGTTCTCGCTTTTGCCGGACTGAACGCCGACGCCCGTATTCTCATTGACAAGGCCAGATTAGAAGCCCAGTCGCACAGACTGACCGTCGAGGACCCCGTTACCATTGAATACATTACCAAATACATTGCTAGTGTGCAGCAGCGGTACACGCAGAGTGGTGGTGTCCGGCCCTTTGGCATCAGTACTCTGGTTGTAGGATTTGATCCAAATGACAAGGTGCCTCGACTATACATGACCGAGCCTTCGGGGATCTACTCAGCTTGGTATGTGGCTTCTTTGCTTGAGGCGAGTGACTAGGTTGGTTCGGGGAAACTTGCTGACTTGAATACGTACTCTACAGGAAAGCAAATGCTATTGGTCGTTCCAGCAAGACCGTGCGCGAGTTTCTTGAGCGGAATCACCAGGCCGATATGGACCGGGAACAGACGATCCAGCTTACCATCAAGTCGCTGCTGGAGGTTGTGCAGACCGGCGCCAAGAACATCGAGGTGGCTATCATGGCTCCCGGCAAGGCGATTGAGATGTTGCCTGACGACCAGATCGAGGCCTATGTCAAGAGCATAGAGACGGAGAAGCAAGAGGAGGCCGCTAAGAAGAAGACTGGCCGGACCGGGACCACAACGGCGGCCATTCTGACGCGGCCCGGTGGTGGAGAGACTGGGGAGTCAACCCGGGAGTCGGCTGACTGAGGAATGATTTGAGGACAGACTCCATACGGGACTTGTGCGACTATGAGACCTGACTACAACTTCCTTTCTCCTTTGAATGTCATGAGACTTCCGCAGCGTCATGCTCTTGAGATATTCGCACTATATCAAGTCTCTCTACGTTGTAGAACCATCCGATTGTGCAACAGGCAATCTACGGTGAATCTGTTTGGATGGGGAGAATATGGAAGCATTAGATCGTAATTGTCGTAAACCATCGTGGTCAATCCAACTCAGCCTAGCCGATCCGATATATCCTTGAAATTGAATATCGACTTTTCCTGGTGTTCCCGTACACGGTCGTCCTTGATCATTCTAAAGCGCGAAGAGTCAGCATCATCCCATCGACCTCACACGACAATGTGTCAAAAGCAGCACCAGATGGAAGAAACATACCTAGAATCAATCCGAGCATCATCGCCCTCAACCTGCAACGCAGCCTTGGGCGTCACAGCATCAATCACAAAGTGGTTATCGCAGTGCGGGCAGTACTCGTCACTACCAGAATCATCAGCGCCTGACATCCTCGCCTCATGGCCCTCAGAGCCACCAGTGCGCTCCGGGCACCCTGGGCCATTGAGCATGAACACACCTCTCATCGAACTCCGTCGCGTCCTTCCGGAAACACTTCTTGCACTTTTTACAGGCGAATGTCTGGGGAACACAGTTAAGAGGATGGTTTTTGCGGGGGCTCAAGGG